GGTTCGAATCCCGCTCGTGCCATTGACTTTTTTATCTCAACTAAAAACCTTAATTAATTGTACTATATAAGAATGTGGACTGTGTGTTTCCTAGTGCACAATGGATTTCTGTATATTTTGCAGTTGATAGGTGCAGCAATCTGGGCAACTAATACTGTTTATTTTAAATAGCTAATTTAAAAGAGATCTATTGCAATTCAAATTGTATCATGATCATGTACTATTTCTTATACATTATAATCAAAGAGAAAAAAGACGAATTCCAGTTTGTGTTTCAAAAGTTTCTTGTCATTCCAAGTTTCATGTCGCGTATTGTCAAATCAATTAAGCCTTTGATCTCTGCACTGTAGTTTTCTATACCTACGAAAGTCAAATTTGCCAGTGTAATCGATTGAGTCCAAACAAGGGGAGTGGAACTACCCTCGAACTAATAATCCGTTACAGGAAGCAATCAAAGCTGAGGGAAATTAAAAGGGTGGGCAGTATTATGACCGAGTCATCGGGTTGTCCAAACGATAATTCCTGCTCTATATCAACGAAAAACAATTCGTTATAACTATTATGAATCACTTATTATTCAGAAATCGTGAGATGCGGTCTGATGTGATGTATGTTTCAGAAAAACATTATCTCTATCGTGCCAATGTTTCGATCTTTATTGAGATCATCTTCAGAGCCTGGGATTTACATTGTTTAAACTTAACAAATACATGTAGGATGTGGAAGAAAGTGAATTTATACAATGCAAAAAAATATTTTTATGTTTTTTATATATATTCAATCAAAGTATTTCTACTCACTCAAAGTTTGTTTTTTGCATAATTATGCCATTCTTGCGTGTCGTGTTGAGAATGCCAATGAGATATTGCTGTTTTATGTTTATATACGTTGGATTTTGAAGGTGTGGGGAAGGAAGTCGGTATAGAGACATTTTTGTATAAGACACAATTACGCAGAAAACAAACACTTTGAATGAGTAGAAATACTTTGATCGAATATAAAAAATATTTTTTGCATTGTATAAATTCACTTTTTACCACATCCTACCTGTTTTTGTTAAATTTAAACAATGTTTGTAAATCCCAGGCTATGAAGATGATCTCAATAAAGGTCGAAACGTTCGTACGATAAAAAAAATGTTTAGAAATGATAAAAGGTGGAGTGAGTGTGGTGTTCAATCCTTTTTTAAAAGATAGTTCCTACTCACAGTAAGTTGTTTTGCAACGATCCGGATTTCGAGCCTTTTAGCTCATCATCAGGTTGAAGGACTTCCACAACCACGTCTCTCGACACGAATTGCCAAAGGTTGTTTTTTTTTCCACTTTGGCAATTCGTGTCGAGAGACGTGGTTGTGAAAGTCCTTCAACCTGATGATGAGCTAAAAGGCTCGAAATCCGGATCGATGCAAAACAACTTACTGTGAGTAGGAACTATCTTTTAAAAAAGGATTGAAGAAAATGTTTTTCTGAAACCTACATCACACTAGACCGCATCTCACGATTTCTGAATAATCATCGACTAACGGTCACTAATATAACATATAAATCACTTAGTTTATCAGGTTATCATAGACAATTTATTTAAATTTTCCAAGAGATAAAAAGCTCCTTTTCATCCAGTGTTATTATTTTTAATGAATGTTTAGTAACTTCCTAAGTTCCAATTTTGGTTTGACTACCAGTGTAGAAAATGGCAATTTTCTGTTTAATTGCCTGCGACAACACCGTACATCACAGCGATCCCTATTTGAGGAGTTATTTACTTATCTTAGGGTGATCATTTTTGATATTGGAAAAAAAGTCATTCATAGCTGCTAGAGATAGTAGTTTTCCTCAAAGTGGAACCCAAAATTTAGTTTATTATTGATGAGCCCTTACATCTAGCAAGTGTTTACGCATAAAAGACAAAATAGCTTCAGCTTTGCGGAGTAATTCTCCACTTGATCTATTTGAAACATTTGTTTACATATAGGGTTAATTCTTTATATATTGTAACAATTCGTTAAGAGACTCCTATCAACACAGGGTCATCTGCCAACAATCTACGACAATTTGTGTTTTATGCCGTTTATAAAAATATTAAATAGAATAGGACCCAGCTTGGAGCACTGAGGAACACCAATGCTATCAGCATGACTGAACTCCTAGTACCTGGAATGCCCTGATAGGGGCACTTTATAAGGTGTATATAAAGTGGAAGGTTTATGGGCCGACAAACAGCTGAGGTCATCGCCGGCCCTCCGCGTGTATTCCTTCTCTTTCCTGTCTTTCTCGCATGTTTTGTACTGAACTGCAGCCATTTGAGCATCTCGATCTGGTTACTGACTCTCTGCTTTTACTTGTATATTACCTCGTTATTTTAAAATGCTAGCCTCATGTTAGTACCTCAGGTTGTCAATTTAAGAATAGATACACAACATAAAATACATAACATATATCGCCACAAACATAGAAGTCTGGTCACATTTACTCCCCCAGAGTACTCGATATTCCTGGGGCGGGGCCGAACCCACTCCATTCGCGCTAATAACTTACTTGTACTCTCCAGACGTCACTCATTCACCCCAGAGTACTCGATATTCCTCGGGGCGGGGTAAATAACCCCTTCCTTTCACGCTAATAAATTACATTCATCCTATTAAACATAAACACGACACAAACACGACACAAACACGACACAAACACATAAACTATATACATTTGAAAGTCCCTATAGCCCTGAGGCTCCGGTACAACGATTTGTGCCTGCTGCCGTGCCCCAAGACTACGCACAGGTCCAATGATATTCCAAGATTGCCTATAAACATCGAGCCTTCTACAATTGAAAGGTGCTCGACTGTTGCATTGTTCTGTTGTATCTATCCTTGCATAGTGGGCACCTTTGCGGTCGCTTTCCTGCTAGAAGGTGCCCGTGCGTAATTCTTGTATGACCTATGCGTATTCTTGTCAGTATGACGTTTTCCCTTTTTGACCCATTTTCCGTGAACCAGGGACCGACGTCTTTCTTAACCTGCCACAGTTTGGCAGGGTTATTTCTATTTTTCCGCGCCCAGCATTTTTCCATTCTTCTTTTATCGTATTTGAAATTAATAACTTGAGATCCGCTGGGCGTATAGGTTGGGAAGCGTCGTGAGGTCCTCCTATAAGGTGTATAAATATGAATCCCAGAGGTCAAGTTTATGTTATAAGAAACCTCTGGCCATACAAATGGCATTTTCAATGTCAACTACTACCATTTTTACTTGTTTAAGTTAAAATTATCCATGGTCGTATCAAGTACTCTACCAGGCTACATGATGGTGAAACGATTTAGTCTGCAACTAAATTGACTATTTTCAGTCGGGAAATTCATTAACTTTTGATGAAATACTTTTTCAGTGATGTTTGGAAGAATATTAGGGAGTAAGATAGGCCGGTAATTTAAAGTATAACCTTAGCAAGTTTCCTTGTATAAGGAAATTATGTCAAAATAAATACATAATTATACTAGATAGATAATGAAATGCTTTAGTTGTATGCTTTTTCAGAAGAATGATGGGATAGGTCACCTGGGTTTTTTTTCAGTTCAAGCTAATTGACTATCTTCTCTAATTACTTTGTTGAGGTTAAGTTACAGAGTAGGCACATCGAGCATGGTTTTGTGCCCCCTGATAATTTATTTTATGAACAGTAAGAAAACCAATTTCATTCATTAACTCTCTTGGAAATTGTAGCAAGAAACAAACAGCAAATAAACTAAACTCAGCTTGTTTAAATTATAAAATAACAAGGGGAGGTTATAAACGTGGGATCACCTATTTTCTGCATGTCTGATTCTTACCAATTCTTAGTTAAGAATTTTTTCTATGAAATTTTGCAGAAAGAATATTTTTTGGTTTTCCCAAATATTTATTTTTTGGTGAAAAAAAATATCAACTTATTTATCTCTCAAAAAAATATTTTAACCTAAAACTCCTCATCAGTAAGTCAAAATTGCATTTGGCAGCTAGCCAGTGGATGGGTATAATAAGTTTATTGAATATGAAAACACACGGAAAAATATACAAACAAGAGAATAAACTTAATTCAGTGAAGTAACCATCTGCCGGAGTTTGGATTAATTATTAACTAATCCTTCAAAGTAAACATACAAATGCATTAAGTTAAATAAATATGATATACTAAATGTAATCCTTATAACAAAATACTCAATAATAAATTAAATATTAATATAAGTAAGGAATTCTAACACTCCGGATTTTAGGCACGGAAGCAAGAAAACAGGAGGGAAGCGAAGATGTATGTTACCTTCAATAGCGCAAAAGCAAGCTACGATGGGGGGCAAGTCGTACCTTATAGGCCCGTTTAAACCTAGGCTGTGCTTTAAAAAAATTAAAAAAGTACTTAAAACAGCTTAAAATTTTTTGATTTACTTTACAGGAAGCAAGTTTTGTAAATTATCATATATCTATTTTCATTTAATACAGCCTTGCATATTATTAAATATTAGTCAAATATAAAACCAAAAACAAATATAACAGCCTGAAAATACATGCACAAAAAGACAGAAAAATATATTTTACAAAACTATGTAAATTACTTACATTTTTCTCAGTTCCTTGAGCCCCCTCAGCCCTTGGTAAGAACGCTGTCTAATATTTTTTGACTTAGTTAAAAGAGGTTTAACCTACCTAAAAGGGGTTTCATTAAAATCAGTGATCCCACATCCGTAGTGTCCACTTGTATGTTTTGGTTTACTAAAAAGGTTTAACTGCAACTCTCAGCATACTTTTTTCTAATCATTCCATCATTTTTCTCATCAGGCATCACGTTGGGGTCACAAACAGTAGCAAATATTAAAAAAACAAATGAAAAGTCACTATAAAACACAAGAAAATGGATAAAACATAAAAGTCCTCGACTCGTAGATGATGCTGAAAAAGCATTCATATTTATGTAAAACAATATTCCTTTGAGAAACTGCCTAAAAACATTATATAATATAAAAATAAATTCTAGGTATTAAAAAAAAAGTTAATTAAATTATATACTTTAAAAGAAAAGATAGATACATTTTATATACACATTTGATATAAATGCAATGTTACTAACATTAATTATGTTCAATATACAATTACAACATTCCAGAAGATTTATCTAATAAATTTTGTATACTGATAGGTACCCAATTATTTGTTGCTGGATCACAACAAAAGATAACATTTCTATCAATATAGATTTGCAGCACTCCACACCTAAATACTTGCTTTCCTTCTCGATACCTAAACAAATATTGTTTAAAACATTGTCATAGTCAATAAAAATTAAAGTTTGCTTTAAATAAGACAAACCTGTTTTGTAATGGATGAAAAATGATTCCTCGCTCTTCACACTTTTTCTGTACAAGGTCTTTAAATCCGTCGATTACCTGCGATCCTGTCCTTACAGCCTCAACCATGCCCTTAACAAATTTATATATTAAAATACCTCATTTCCAAAAAATAATAATAATAATTACCTGGAATCTGGGTTCTTGTTGAGAAATGACTGGAGGAGGTGGTGGTGGAGGCGGTCCTCCTACAGACCTGCTCATCAATTCCAAAGCGGTTCTCAGGTGTTCTTTGACCGACGGCTGCTCTCTTACATTGTCGGGTATTAACGATTTCCATCCTGAATACCATTTAGTGACTTGGTCATAATTTGGGGTAACGTTGAGCCAAAGAGTGAGAACTTGGAGCCAACGAGGGAAAAACGATTTCTGAAGCAATTTGGCCATTAGAGGTGCTGGAACTAGTTCATTCCATTCCATTACCCAAGCCCAGGGTTCTAAAAAATTTAATCAAAGTTATTTATTTTTTAATTCATTAAGTTTAGTTAAAACAGACCCAATGACTGCTGCTGTGGATTAATAATGAACTCTTGTAATAATTGAGAAAGTTTAGGGAGAATGTGTGTAGCCAAAAATGTATCCATCTCACTGGATGTAAACACTGACGTCCAAGGACTTAATAACAATCTTGCTGAATTATCAGAAGGATGCCAGCTGACTAGAGCGAATCCTAATTTCTGTCTTATCACAGGAAATATCGACACCCTAAGAAGTGGAGCTGTAAAAAAACCAATAATCTTGAAATTTAATATTCGATTAATTACTTCTATTTGCTTACCTAGCAAAGGCATCCAAGGGTGTGTCCAAGTATGAACTGGAATTGTATCTGTCAGCGGATTCCATTCTTCAGCGGTACTTTGCAATCTGGGCATCACTAACTGATGTAGTATATTTTCCATTATCCAGTTGGGAAGGAGAGGCATCCAGGTGTTGACAAGATTAATCATAGGATCGGGCTCTTTAACATTCCAAGCACTACACAAAGACTAAATTTATTCACTATTTTTCAAAATATATCAAATCAAATTTAAAAAAAAAAATACTTTGCAGCGATACGAATGTTGTGCATCCACGTATCCCAAAGTAGCCTATGAAACGGCTCTTGCACATTTGTCGTTGATAAAGTATGAACTAAGGTTTGAGCACCGATAAGGCAGTTCTTCCATTCATTCATAAGTTTCAGAGGGCCTGTCGGGTCCTTCAGTGGATTCCAATTGGACAGATGGGATTTCATGACAGGTTGAATTATACTAGGAGCCAAAGCTGCCATGTCATACATCATAAATTCAGCTGGGTAGTCTTGCTGAAGAATGAAAAATACATTGCTTTATTTTCTTGGCATCAACACATATGAATTGGAAACCTGTCAATAACGAACCTAATGTATTTATTACACTGATTCTCTATTTGCATATTTTGAAAGTTTGTAAACATATCAGAATGGACTCTACTTCAAATTACAAAAATTAAAGCCCTCTTTTATAAACTATAAGACAAATTTCCACCATCACGACACTTTTTTTTTATTTTTGAATTTTTCTTAAAAGTTTTTCAAGTAATTGGAGATCAAGGTTCTTTTATGGAAATTTTAGAACCAGCTATTATCTTTATTTCAAACATTATACATGATTATTCAGATATCGTGAGATGCGGTCGGGTGTGATGTACGTTTCAGAAAAACATTTTCTTTATCATGCCAACGTTTCGATCTTTTATTGAGATCATCTTCAGGGCTCAAATCGATTAACGGTCACTAATCTCTACACATTATACATGATGATCCACTACTTGTACAATGTTTGTACAATGAGTCAATCATATGAACCATGGTCCAATTCTGAACTGTTGTTGTAGTTAGTAGTTACTTGTTAGTATAGATATTTTGTCCATTTTCTTCTTTGGTTGTTTGCTATGTTTATTGTCTCTTTTTTATGTGTTTTGGTTCATTTTTTGAACTTTACTTTTTTTGTGCTTTTTATTAACAACTTCTATTTTGTTTTTTTCTTTCTTTTATCTGTATTTAGTGTAGATATTTTGTTTAATTTTTGTGCTTTGGTTGTTTTCGATGTTGATTGTATCTTTTTTTACATGTTTTGGTTCATTTTTACNGTTTTTTTATTATGTCAAAGTGGGGCTTTACAATTTCTGTATTTTTTATTTTTCCCCCTTTTGTTGGTGTTTAGTATAGATTGCTATGTTTATTGTCTTTTTTTTAATGTTTTGGTTCATTTTTTGAATTTTTCTTTTTTTGTGCTTTTTTAATAACTTCTGTATTTTTTTTCTTTTGCCTGTATTTAGTATAGACATTTTGTCCATTTTTTTGCTTTGGTTGTTTGCTATGTTTATTTATCTTTTTTATGTTTTGGGTCATTGTTGCAATTTTTCTTTTTTTTGTGCTTTTTCATTAACAACTTCTATATTGTTTTTTCTTTCTTTTATATCTATTTAGTATAAATATTTTGTCCATTTGTCTGCTTTGGTTGTTTGCTTTGTTTATTGTCTTTTTTTTATGTGTTATAGTTCATTTTTAGAATTTTTCTTTTTTTTGTGCTTTTACATTAACAACATCTATATTGTTTTTTCTTTCTTTTATCTGTATTTAATGTAGCTGTTATGTTAAATTTTTGTGCTTTGGTTGTTTGCGATGTGTATTGTATCTTTTATTACGTGTTTTGGCTCATTTTTACCTCGAATTTTGTTTGTGTGTGTTTTTTTTATTATGTTAATGTTAGATATTTTGTCCAATTTTTCGTCTTTGGTTGTTTCATTTTTATATTGGATTTTTTTTATTATTATTTAGTGGGGTTTCACAACTTCTGTATTTTTTATTTTATTTATTTCTTTTTTTCAGCATTTAGTGTAGATATTTTATCCAAGTTTTCTACTTTATTTCTTTTTTACATGATTATTTTTATTGACACTTTTTTTACATGTTTTGGTTCATTTTTACCGTGAATTGTGTGTGTGTGTGTTTTATTATGGTAAAGTTGGGTTTTAAACTTTTGCATTATTGTTCTATTTTTCTTTTGTCTCAGTTTAGTTTATTTAAATTAATTTAATTTGATTCGTTTCACTTTTTCTGCTTTGATTGTTCACTAAGTTTATTGTCTCTTTTTTATGTGTTTTGTTTCATTTCATTAAGCAATTTTTGCATTAATTGAGTAAATTAATTTATTATAAAAATACGATATTACCTGGAGTTTTTTAAATGTGCTGGCAAGTTCATCTAGAGTAATTGTACCATTGTTTGATCTCGACAAAATATCCTCGAGAACGTTAAGAACGTGTTCTAAGCTTGCAATAGTCTTTGCTTCATTTTCTGTTACTTTATTAAGCCCGTTCATTTCAGATTCCAGCCCTACTATTCTGTCTTCGTTGTACCTTATTTGTCGATCTTTAACGATTATTTCCTATAAAATTCATAATTAAAATTTATTCAAATCGTTACAAGATGTAGTATCTTACCTGTTCACACATGTCTACAAGTAGATTAAGATTATGCTGTAATTCGGGCATTTGGAAATTTGTAAATTTTTTATCTTTTCTAACTTCCCATTCATCTGCCGGTTTCTGATTTCCGGAGATGGCGTGATATCCTGATAGAACTCTCTGCTCGGGCCCAGTCATATCGATTACTTTGACTTTAGTCAATTCACTACGATTTGAATACGAATGATATTCTCAATTATTCAATAATTAATAAAATATTTAAGATGTTGTTACTTGAATTCTCGTTTCCTTTGGGGCTGAACACTTTGATCGAGTACGTCTTCAATGCTCTTGTAAAAATAACGAGCTTTTCGGTTTTTAGACCCTTCGACTTTCCTCCACTGGGATATCCGTTCTTCCTTTCCTTTCGCTTTTCCGTCTGAACTCTCTGCCACTTTTTGGCCTTTTTCAGGCCCATAAGCACCTGGAATTTGCATTTGAGTAATTTGTTGAAAATTAAATTAAATATACTGAAAAGTTCGTACCGATAGCTCCTCTTCCCTTTCTCAACTGTGCTTCTATGGGAGCTTGTATCCCTTGAAGATCTTTACCAAGACCTTTACCTGGTTGAAAACCCATCTAAACATCAAAAATATAAAAAATTATAATACATATAAAAATATACAGTCAGTACATAAAACAAAATAAATTACACCTTGGTTTTCATTAAAAGATAAAACTGTAACTTAATTTTGGATATAAAATTATAGTTATTACTGGCATTAAAATGAGACCAAATTTTTCATCATCAAGATCATGTCTGAGTTCAAATCCCATGAATTTTAATCGATAATAACATACTTTTGAAAGAGTCAGGTGTACATATATTTTTTTAAATACAATTAATTTAAGTTTTTTAGTTGAAATAAAAAAGTCAATGGCACGAGCGGGATTCGAACCCACGATCTTCGGCTTGATATGCCGCTGCTCGACCACTTGAGCTATCATGACCTCGATCCACTCGGACACCAACTTCCCATCTCAACCGCACTTTTTTTTTTTTTTAATTTTCCCCCCTTTTTGCCATTTTTCAAGTGGTAGAGTGGATCGAGGTCACGATAGCTCAAGTGGTAGAGCAGCGGCGTATCAAGTCGAAGATTGTGGGTTCGAATCCCGCTCGTGCCATTGACTTTTTTATCTCAACTAAAAACCTTAATTAATTGTAATATATTAATTGGTCAAGCAGACCACGAAATTAGTGAATTTTTTAAAATAATTGAATAAGAATTGATAAATATAATGAAATTTACCTGAAGAAGAAGTTTAGCGCCTATTCCTTTGGTGTGTTTTTCCCAAGTTCCGACACCTCTTTGAGCCAAGGCTGGATTAGGTTTGAAAGCAGATTTTTTTCTCAAACCGGCAATCTCTTCATTTATACCTGCCAACGGATCTAATACTTTTGAACCGAATGACGCTCTTGGTTCCTCATCACTGGAAAAAAAAAAAAAATCTAGTGATGAAATCTAATCGGTTTAGTGAAAATAATAGAAAAAATAAAACCTCGAGTCAGATAACGTAATGTGTTTTTGTCTCTCGTGGCTATTTTCATCGTTTTCTTCCTCGTCCGATTCATTCTTTGCTTCTTCTTTTCCTGCTTGTTGCACACCACCAGCGACAAAGCCGATAGGCGCTGAAAAGTTCTTACTCCTCCTTCCTGATTTACCAAAAGCAGGCCTTTCATCTTCATCTGAATCCTCATCCCTGGCCCAAATACCTAAAACAACAGCAAACAACTTGTTTACAAATAACATAAATAAATACAATTCTTTGCTAAACACCATAATCAATTTTTGTACGTCAATTTCACTTTTATAAATTTTAAAAAATATATATATATTTAAAAACACGTGTGAATGTGTTCTCTTAATATGTAAAGGAGGGAAAATTTATTTATTTATTTATTTATTTATTTATTGAAAAATGGCAAAAAGGAGGGAAAATTCAAAAGGTGAGTTGAGATGGGAAGTTGGTGTCCAAGTGGATCGAGTGGTAGAGCAGCGGCATATCAAGCCGAAGATCTTGGGTTAGAATCCCACTCGTGCCATTGACTTTTTTATCTCAACTAAAAACCATAATTAATCTTAATATTTATTACCTTATTTAAATTCATCAATATGAATCTTTCAGTAAAATACACTCTACACTTTCTTTAAATTCTGCACGTCTTACGAGCTAATATACAATGACGATTCACTCGTTTCCCACAATGAGGACTGAAAGCGAATTGTGGATTTAAAAAATAGTTTAAAGAACCTATTTATTTAAAAATAAGTGATATCAAATTCCCACATAGTTTTTTTTAGGATTTATCTATGTATATAAAAGAGTTATGATAAATGAGAACAATGATCAACAGGTTTCAATTTAATTGGTGATAACCAGGCAAACTGTCTCCAGCCATAAGGAAAAAATGCCCACTTTCCAGAGAAGCAATTTAAAAAGTTTGCACCTATGTCCAAAATCATGTATTACACCTCAGATAATTTGAATAGATAGTGGTTATTTTCATATTTTTTTCTTTTATACGACAACAAATTTTATAAAAAAAATTTAAAATTAAATTAGCTAAGACTTATTTAATTATTACTGACTACCTATCTAGTTATGTACGTACTAGATTTTGGTAAAGGCTTTTATGAATTAAGTTCTATATCTCGACAGTCATCTGGTGGGTGCAGGATATAAAATTTGGAAGAATCGGAATATACAAGTGAAGAAAATATTTGGTTCTTATATAAACCTAAAACATCAATATCTCACTGGCACTCTCAACACGACACACAAGAATGACACATCTACATGGAAAACAAACACTTTGAGCCCTGAAGATGATCTCAATAAAGATGAAAACGTTGGAACAATAAAAAAAATGTTTTACTAAAACATCACACCAGACCACATCTCACGATCTCCAAATTGATATTAAACCTTGCGTGGACCCCCTGACATCGTTCAGAAACCCCAAATCAATTTTAATTTTCCACGGATCCCCTGAATGATACCGGGTAGGGACCACTTTGGGAACCACTGTTATATACCATTCACTTAGGTGGACCACTTTACGTTTCTCCTTTTCACCCTTTGCACATATAACTAATCTAAATCACTATACATTCAGGGTAATAATTACATTCACTCTCAATATACACAAAAGGAAACACATTAGTGATAGGACTAGAACCCTTCTGCAGCATAGGAATCCACACTATCAATGAGCACTTCAGACAAAAGGATAAAAAGAAAATGAAAGAACAATGGAATTCATTCATTGGACACAAACAATCCAAGAACCTCCTAACAAATTTCGGAAGGGAAGAAGTAACAGAATATATCAAAGCAAGTAGGAAAACGCTGTGAATCCTAACAGGATTCCTAACAGGACACTGCAAACTAACGAACATTTAAAGACTTATAGCCCAAGACGGCACGTGCAGAACCTTTTAACAAACTGTGGTGCTTCACATTCTCGGAGGAGGAAGTACTTTGAGACGTACAATGTGTCCATAGAAGAAATTCAACAACTGAAACCAGACCTACTTCAAGTTCTTGATTTAATAGGACTTCATCTCTTCATCTAAAAAGCCCTGCTTCCTCTAAAACTCGAAACACGACAACTAAATACTCGCTGCTGTACTCAAGCACAATTCTCATATCAGGTGGCATTCCTACGCGCTCTTCATATGATGTCAAGGTATGCCGTTCAATTATGCAAGACACATCAAGTCTTGTCGTACATTTAAAAAGTAAGTGTCCTTGTGTCAACCTGCAAGGCCTATTCTTAACCTTACAATTAACCTATGTATTATTATAAGGGGGTCACTCCTTTCCCAGAATAAATTATTTTTTTATTCTACTTCCTGTGCTTACATACACGCAAGACAAACATTAAACAAATTACTACTAGACCATTCTGCACAGAACTAGAACATCAATAAAAAGTATAAATAATCAAATGTTAATTTCGCAAGTTTTTAAAAGTTTTTAATTAATACAATAAAATATTGAACTCATTCATAAATTCTTTTGATGTTAAGACCAATTGAACGTTTCCAACTAGTAAATATTATGAAATAGTTTAAAATGAGTTAAATGAGTATTAAAAGAATGTTAACTATACCATAAATTTGTTGGTTTTTGGAATTCCTCTGAGGGCGTCTGGGGTTGAATTCGTTTTCTATGTCATAGTCGGTTATTTCAAACGGTTCGTACTCTTGGTCCGACATTTCGTTTGAATTCAACTCGTTTTATTTGTTATAAATAATGGTCGATCATTAGAATTAATACAAATAAACAAGGAAAATCCAATTTTTCAAACCATAAAAACAAACACAAAAACCTCCTGGGACTGTTATAAGTGTAGCACATAGATTTATTGGTAAATAATCGATATTCTTATCGAAAAAAGGAATCGATATTTGACGGCTATATACACATATATGATGGAGTAACTAAAGCGAAAGAGCTATTTTGAGCTTTTTAAAGTTTATTTTACAACATGGAATTACTATCAGTCTTAAATTAGAGTTTTGGTTCTAATCTCATGATTCGATGTTTTTTACATCAATTATCGATATTTTTATACGAGTTTTTCGAAGTTTGTTGTACTTGTGGTGCAACTTTATTATGAATGGTTGACCTGTTTAATATAATAATTAAAAACGATTAATATGATTGGACATACAGGATTTCAAAAAAATGAAAAAGAACTATTGTCTATTAAAAACTACGATTCACTAAGAACTACGCTTCACTAAGAACCATTGTTCACCAAGAATGTAGTTTCAATAAGAACTATCGTTCACTAAACGGAAAGACCTGTCAGTATAGTCGTGGGTTCGAATCCCTCTCGTGCCATTAACTTTTTTCACCTCAACTAAAAACCTTAATTAATTGTAATGATTTAATTGGTCAAGCGGACCACGAAATTAGTGAATATAGTTGTGTTTAGGGAATAGTTCATTTGAACTAGTTCTATATATAGAACTATATATTTCTTTAGTTATGGAATAGTTCTATTTCTTACTGAACTACAGACCTTATATTGAACAAAAATTATAGCGAACAGTTTGAAAAAGTTATATTAATACAGGATAGAAAAGATGATAACTAAATAAATATATGTGTATAAAAACTACAATTCACTAAGAACTTTGCTTAGAAGAACCACACAATTCACTTTAGAACCACAGTTTACTAATAACTACGGTTCACTAAGAAATATTTTCACTGAGAACTACGGTTCTCTATGAACTATTGTTCTCTAAAAGAAAAGACCTGTCTATATAGTTCTTTTTTGGGAATAATTCATTTCTTTGTGTATTATTCTAACAGAACCTTAGTCTCAGTGAATTATATATTTTTTCACTTTCCTTTGTTAGAAAACAATATTAATACAGGATAGAGGGGAAAATAATTTAAAAAAATATATAGTTTACTAAGAACTAAAATTCACTTTAGAACTACGGTTTACTAATAACTACGGTTCACTAAGAACTACAGTTCTCTATGAACTATTGTTCACTAAACGGAAAGACCTGTCTATATAGTTCTTTTTGGGGAATAATTCATTTCATTGTGTATTGTTCTAACAGAACCATAGTCTCAGTGAATTATATATTTTTCACTTTCCTTTTTTTAGAAAACGATATTAATACAGCATAGAGGGGAAAAAATTTAAAAAAATATATAGTATACTAAAAACTAAAATTCACTTTAGAACTATGGTTTACTAATAACTACGGTCCACTAAGAAATATTTTCACTAAGAACTACGGTTCTCTAATGAAAGGAAAGACCTGCCAATATAGTACTTTTTGGGAAATATTTCATTTGAACTAATTCGTATGTGAAAAAAGAACACTATTTCTTAAGTTGAATTATTCGAAAGGCTTCATTTGCTAACTTGCAACTCGTGCTTCAACCAGTAGGTCAAACTCGAAAAACCGTTAGAAAAACATATTTTTCGAAGTACTTTTAGGGTTTTCATATTTCCTTAGTTTCAGAAAGTATCTTTAAACAACAAAAATTAAATAAATTATGGCAGGCTCAATTTTTAAATGCATAAATTTATTGTTAAGATAAAATTATTGTATAAACTTTAAAGTGTGTGATAATTGATGCAGCAATAAGCAATCTTCAGGAAGCACGTTGTGTATTTTTTCCCCTATGTTATTTACTTATAGCTTGCATATGAGATTGGATGTTGTTTGTGTTTTTTTGTCATCCCATTACACTCAGATGATTAATTTTTTGCAGTAACTTCCTGGGCGAATTCCAGTGTTTATTCTCTTTCTTCCTCGCCACATGTTGAAAATGCACTCTACTAGCCCAGCATTTGTCTAGTTTTTTTTTTCTATTAGTATCAACTGTGTTTGACTTATGGAGTACGTTCCACTTCTAATGAACATCGAAAAGTTAAAAATTCTTTGATCATTTTCACCTCTTCACCACCTCTGTGAAATTAAATAAACTTAGATTTTTTTAACACATGCTTGTCTGACAACCGTATTATAAAAAAAAAACACCTCAACAAATAACAACAAAGATAAAATCGATTTTACTTAACAGAAATGAGAATGTGCTTCGTGTAGGCAAAACATAACATCGAATGGAGGACTTAATCCTCCTAATAACTAATCAATTAAATGTTAGCATGGTAGAGGACTTTTTAAATTTGTTCATCTAGTCTGGGTTATTTCACCATCAGAAAAACAAGGTTCAAAATACTTATTGTGACAATACAAAGTCCTGCGTAAAAAAAGAATAAAAAGCCAAAAAATCATATTAATTTTTAAGTGTATTATTCGTCAGTCTGACTGTTCCTGTGTACTTTCAATTTAAAAATTATTTGTTACATTTTAATTAAATTACTTGTACATTATTAATTAAAATCAAAGTAATTACTTACACTGTATTTGAAAAAAAATCACAATGTTGAAAAAAATTCTAATAGAAATAGTATAATAGTTTTCTATATTTGAAAAATCATGAGATTATAATATTTAAGCTTTCTATGCATAAATAGAGAGGCAGGTAAAATTTTAATAATCTATCCGCACAAAGTATGCTTTTCTGTTAATTTAATTTTTTTAATTCAGATTTTTTCTCAATATTTTATCCAAGAAAAATTAAAAATGTTCCTATATTATCAAATTAAACACGCAGCCGAGATTCAAAGAATCCCAGTGCATACTTAACTTTAAGAAGTATTAGATAATTTTTTGTTGCTGCAATTTCTTTCCTTGGGTTTTCTTGAATTCTGGGTTATTTCTCCATTGAATAGATGCTTCTCATTCGAAGAGGCTATGGTTGGCTGTCTCTTCCGCCTGAATAACCTGCAAAGTTATTCAACATGCCCATATTATGTAGATGTTTTCTCAAATGACTGGTATATCCTGTCACTCCTTTAAGTTTTGCCCTGTTTAACAGTAGCAGTGAGTTCACCAGTATTGTTTCTGTTGTGAGATGGAGGATTATGTGTTTTGTAATCCAATGTATAGGTACAAGGCCTACACAATTTCCTCCTCTGGCCAGTTTGTCTGTCTTTCATTACTCAAAAGTCCTTTGTTTCCTGGCACCCAAGAGATGGAGGGCCTAGAGTCAAGAGTAAATGGGATACCCTGACACCCGTCACCATATTCCAGAGTGATAGAAAAGGCCTCCAGTGATCCGAGTGATCCACAGCCTTTGAGATCATCAACTACGCCTGACACCTCATATGAAGATACACTGGGCACTAAAAAAGATTGTAAGCTAGATTTGGCACATGTTAAACTTGAGCATTTATTTTATTATACTTCCTCGTACAGGATTGTTTTACCTGTTTAGGGAGATATCCTGAGGCAGTAAAGCAATACCAACCCTCTACCGCCATTAACCTCCTCCACCCTTGTATTTTCCAGGAGCATGAATCTCTCAAATATTTGAATTTAATGTGGTAACAACTTTGCCCAAAAAATGCCTTTCACATTAAGATCTTTATTTATTGAAATAAATAAAACAGTTTTAAATTAGACTGTAAATATAATATTTATTTTTCAATCTTCTATAAGACAGTCCCACAGCATAAATCATACTTATGGTGACATTTTTGTTTCTTTTATCACATTCTCAGTAAAAGTATACTTTTTTCTTTTATGAAACTGAAATTATTTATTCTTAAATACAATGAATGAATAAGATGGGGGATGATCACAATGATGGTCTATTTTGCACATGTAACGAAAAGATGGCAAGATAAACGTCAGAAATTTGTTAATTTAAGAAAAAAAAGGCAAATTCACAGCTGAAGATCTAAGTTCCTATAAAAACCATAAAGTTAAAAGCTACTAATTCACAATCAGACAAACAAGGTGTACATTGCAAATTTTTTAAACACAAATAGCTATAAATAAAATACCTAGAAAAAATAATATTGATCAGTTTGCATGCTCTCATATACATAAACAAAGTTTAATAAGAAATGCAAAATTAAAGAAATAAAAGTTTATTAAACATTGAAAATCGCCAAACTTTTTCAATTTATCATTAATTTGTATACATTTTGACCCGGCTTATTTATTACTTTCAAGTAAAATCTTGTCAGTGAGGTTCTACATGAAAGATTTTCATGATTGTTTAGGAAAATTGTATTTTATTATTTTATTTGTTAAGAGATTATACGATCGTATATCCCTGACTGCTGTTTTTAAATTACTTTCATTGCAATAATCATATAAGTGTCATAATAAGTAATAAATATGTCGATTTTTCAGTTTGCATTTTACATTCCTGTCAATATTATTCCAGATAATACAAAATATTTATAAAGCAGTTTAAATCGTTTCAGTCTGTCCTTTTGGCTTAATAAAAAGTAAAACAGAAAGATTTTTAAACAAATAAGATGTTGGTGATTGGTTTTTAGAAGTGGCTCTAATTTAAAAAGGAATTTTATATAAGGAATGCCGGGCCCTCCGGGATAGCCGAGTGGGTTTTTCAATAGCCCCTCGGTATAGATATATCTACGATCCTACGGGTTCGAATCCCACGAGGGTAAATTTTTTTTTTTCAAATATGAGATTGTAAAATACTTTTTTATGTACTTTATATACGTTGTAAAAGGTATTTTTATGGATTTTAGAATAAATTTATTGTTAAAATGTGTGGTGGTTAGTGACCGTTAATCGAATAAGATAAGAATAAGAAATACTTTAATTGAATATATACAAAAACATATATATTTTGCATTGTATAAATTCACTTTTCCACATCCAAAATGTAATTGCTATGTGTAAACAATGTTTGTAAATCCCAGGCCCTGAAGATGATCTCAACAAAGTTCGAAACATTGGCACGATAAATAAAATGTTTTTCTGAAACCTACATCACACCAGACCGCATCTCACGATTTCTAAATAAATTTATTGTTAAATATAATTTTTTTTTTGTATCGGACGGTTTAGACGACTCAAGGTTGAGTTTTATTGAAAAGTGTCTTTCATTCAGAACGGTTTTATTTTTCGTGTCATTTAAAAATAATAACAATAATAATGTCATTATTTGTAACCTTATTTTATCATTGCTGTCCGTACAATTTCGCTGGTTTTTACTCATCAACAACTGAAAACGATAAAATACCGAAAAAATTGTAGAAGAAAAAAAATCAATAATGCATTCTAGATTTTTTTTTGTGACAATATATTTTATATATTATACCGTGTTGGTTTTTATAAGAGACTTGGACTTTTATGCTATTGTAAAACTAAGTATGGCTCCAAAAGTAATTTTTCACATTCTGCTGGTGTTATTAGCTATTTTTTTTACTATTTTTGAAATGTAAAGCTCTGTTTTTATTCACATATTTTGAAAGTCCTTTTCATTTAAAAAAAAAATTATATCAAAATCTAAAAACTTAATCATTTAAGATATTGTAGTTTTCCTTCTGAACTTCATGATTTTAATTTATCGTTTACCTTATTGATCTTGTTCAGTGTTTACAGACATCTTTAAAAAATTCCACGGAAATTAAATCTTTTTATTTTCTTCAATAAATTTACAATTTTCACCTTTTTTTAAAACTAAGTTATAAGAAAAATTTAAATTATTGAGCTCCGAAGGAAAACTTCAATAACACCAGAACAAATTGATAAATTTTTTCTTACTTTTTGATCCTTTCGTTTAAAAAAAATTCATCAGAAACTTAAAAATTCATCAATTTGTTTTGGAGAAATTTAAGCTTTTATCAGTTTTTAAAAAAATCAACACATAAAATTTCCTTCTTTTATTCATTTAAATTTTCCCCTTTTTTAACTAGTTATAAAAAAATTTAAATTATTGAGCTCCGAAGGAAAACTTCAATAACTCCAGAACAAATCGATAATTTTTTTCATACTTTTTGATCCTTTCGTTTAAAAAAAAAAAAAATCATCAATTTGTTTTGGAGAAATTTAAGTTTTCATCAGCTTTTAAGTTTTCAGCTTTTAAAAAAATCAACACAAATAAAACTTCCTTATTTTATTCATTCAATTAAATTTTCAATTTTCTCCTTTTTTAACTAGTTATAAAAAATTTTAAATTATTGAGCTCCGAAGGAAAACTTCAATAACTCGAGAACGAATCGATAATTTTTTTTCTTACTTTTTGATCCTTTGGTTAAAAAAAATCATCAGAAACTTAAAAATTCATCAATTTGTTTTGTTGAAATTTAAGTTTTCAGCTTTTAAAAGAATCAACAAATAAAATTTCCATGTTTATTCAATTAAATTTTCAATTTTTTCCGTTTTTAACCAGTTTTTTTACACGATAAATTGAAATTGTCGAGTTCTGAAGGAAACTTTCGGTGTCTCCTGAAGGAACCGATAATTTGCTGACAATGAATTTTTTTCATACATTTTGTAATCCTCCTTTCTGAAAAAAGATAAAAGAAATTCAAACATTCATAGATTCGTTCTTGAGATATTTTGAAATTTGCAGAAATCGAAATTTCAGTTTATCGTGTAACTAATTGTTGTTGCTTAAAGCCAGCGTTTTAAAAAATTAACACAAATGAAATTTTCACGTTTTATTCAATTAAATTTTAAATTTTCTCTTTTTTTAACGTTTAACGTCACGACACACAAGAATGATACAATTAAGCCGAAAACAAACACCTAGAGTGAGTAGAAACACTTTGATTGAATATATATTTTAAAAAATTGTTGCATTGTATAAAATAACTTTTTTCCACATCCTATATGTATTTGTTAAACGTAAGCAATGTTTGTAAATCCCAGGCCATGAAGATGATCTCAATAAAGATCGAAACGTTGGCACGATAAAGAAAATGTTTTTCTGAAACCTACGTCACACCAGACCGCATCTCACGATTTCCGAATAATCAGTTATACGATTAATTGCAATTATGGAATTCTGAATGAATACTGCAATATCTCAAGAACAAATGGATAAATTTTTAGATTTCAGGTATATTTTTTTAGAATAGAAAGAACATGTGGTGATAGTGACCGTTTGTCGATGATTCAGAAATCGTGAGATGCGGTCTGGTGTGATGTAGGTTTCAGAAAAACATTTTCTTTATCGTGCCAACGTTTCGATCTTTATTGAAATCATCTTCAGGGCCAGGGATTTACAAACATTGTTTAAATTTAACAATACATGTAGGGTGTGGAAAAAAGTGAATTTATGCAATGCAAAAAAATATTTTTTATATTCAATCAAAGTATATTTAGTAGTATTTCATAGTTATTTTTTTTTAGTATTTTATATTCACTCAAAGTGTTTGTTTTCTGCGTAATTGTGCCATTCTGAGAGTGCCTGTGAGATTCCTGTTTTATGTTTATATAAGTTGGATTTTGAAGGGGTGGGGAAGGAAGTCGGTATAGAAAGACATTTTTATATGAGGAGTCGGCTTCTTTGAGGTGAAAGGAGCAGACGATATGAAAAACGTTGGTAATGGTTCGGCCAGATTATCCTTTCAGGATTATATAGACTGGGATAATTAGGAAAAGGAAAGCTAAATTGTTGAAAAATTACACTATGTAGAAAATTATTCAGAAATCGTGAGATGCGGTGATGGAGGTTCGTATGGCACTCTCGACACGACACGTAAGAATGGCACAATTACACAGAAGACAAACACTTTGAGCCCTGAAGACGATCTCAATAAAGATCGAAACGTTGGCAAGATAAAGAAAATGTTTTTCTGCAATCTCCATCTCCGCATCTCACGATTTCTGAATAATTATCGATTAACGGTCACTAATCATCACACACTATGTAGAAATTTTTGATGTGTGGAATGTGATGACATATGTCTGTTCTGTAATTGATGCTGTGTTTGTCTCTGTTGATATAAACCATTTCTAAGAAATTACGTTTATGTTTGTTTTGTTCTGTGTGTAATATTTTTGGATTTTTGAAGTCGAAATTGTGTTTGAGTTCAAAATGATGGAATGCTGTTGGATTTTGCTTGGGATTTTTGAAATCATAGATATGTTGCTTTACTTTCTTATCCAGAAAATGGGATGTTTGTATATCCAGAAAGTTGCTGGACAATTTAAACAATTGATTTTGTAGATTACTTCAGATTTATTTGATTTTGGTGTGGGATCTTTAATTTTGGAAAAAAGTGTGTGAATTGTTTTATAGTTTTTAAAACTATTGTAAAGTTATCGGAAGAGAAAAATGTGTTTAATTTATGTGATAGATATGAATGTTGGTTTGTCTGTATTTGATAGATTTGATGTAGTATTTATTAGTAATAGTGGATGGTGTTAGTTGTTGATTATTCTGTTATGTGTTAAGGGTAGTGATTGTTAAGGAGGATCTGTTTGTATATCTTTATGTTCTTGTGGTGAAATGATTCATGGCTTAGCGTAATCATTCTATGAATTAGCCCATTGGCCGTGTTTATTATTGTATGAAGAAGATGGTGAGATGTAAAGTTGAGGTAGGGTTTTTGATACCAATCTGTGATTAATGTGCCATCTGGTTGTTTTATCACGAGTTTATCTAAAAATGGTATTGTTTTGTTATTTTCGATTTCATGTGTGAATCGTTGGCGTGGGTGAAAGCTATTAAATGTATCTAATGTTGTTTGAATTTGATCTGTGGGAACTGCTGTCAATATATCATCTACGTATTTAGTGAGGAAGGGTAAAGTGAATTACATCTATTAAACACAACTTCCTTTCACATTACCCTTTGAAGATTTCTTCGTTAAATTTTTGAGTGGTGTCATTTATTGTGAATTACCAGCCCCTTTAAGGACATTTAAAAGACGAGCCGAGTTATTATTACCTAGAAAGGAGGGTTCAACCTATCGTTTTAAATCTCTATTATATTTAGATTGTTGTTTTCTGGACGGTTGGCACGTGTTTGTTATCTTTTTGTCGACTACTTCTTCAACTCTGGGTGTGGGTTCGCAGCGGGAGACGCGTGCCGGCTTCGTCGCCATGTGTAAAACCTTATTCACTTTCTTATATCTCACATTGTTATATTTACATTATAGGACGATTTCTTTTTGTATAATTAGATTTGAAATAAATGGTCGGTAGGATGATAAAAACGGATTTATTTGCGCATGTTGCGGCAGGGGCAGATTTTCTCTTCCGCTCCTCGGGTTTTCTAAAAATGAAAAAAAAGTCAAATTTGAAGATTTCAAATATAGTTTTGAACACACCCGTTTTTGGTCTTCAACTTGTACATCGTGAATGTCGTGGATTATTTGCTTATATTTCTTATCTGTGTCCTTCGCAGGAGGCTCGGTCGTCCTCTCCAATTTGGGGCTTCTTGCTCTCGTTGAAGTTCCCTAATGTCAAATATTAATAAAAAAAATATCATAAATAAATTCACTAGTTTTAGTGGTCCGCTTGACCAATTAATATATATTTCCATTAATTAAGATTTTTAGTTGATATAAAAAAGTCAGTGTCACGAGCGGGATTCGAACCCACGATCTTCGGCTGGATACGCCGCTGCTCAACCACTCGATCCACTCGGGCACTAACTTCCCATCTCAACCCCACCTTTTGAATTTTCCCTCCTTTTTGCCATTTTTCAAGTGGACCACGAAAAATAGTGAATATAAAATTAACATTCAATTGCTAAATATTTAATTTTTCGTTTACAAATAGTTTAAAAAAATATCAAAGATGTTAAAACTTCTATTAAAAAATAATGAAAATAATACAAAATAAGCAACAAAAAATGTCTGTTTGGTATAAAATGAAATGTAAGAAAAAAAAGCCTCAAAAAATTAAATTGAATATTGGAATTGTCCGTCCCCCTACTTGAAGAATGAAGTTAATATTAATTTTTTTAAATTGTTTTTTTTCTTATATTCAATTTTGTACCAAAGTCTTTTGTTTATTTTGTATTACTTTCATTATGTATTTAAAAAATATTTAAAAGAAGTGTTAATATAAGTAATTTTGTTGAACTGTTTGTAACGGAAAAATAATTTTTTAAAATTATAAATTAAATCAAACGTTAATTTTAAATTGGCGATAACTGACCTCATTGGCTACATTGGCTCAAATATGCCATTTGAAAAATGGCAAAAAGGAGGGAAAATTCAAAAGGTGGGGTTGAGATGGGAAGTTAGTGTCCGAGTGGATCGAAGTCACGATAACTCAAGTGGTAGAGCGGCAGCGTATCTAGCCGAAGGTCGCGGGTTCGAATCCCGCTCGTGACACTGACTTTTTTATCTCAACTAAAAACCTTAATTAATTGAAATATATATAAATAAAAATCATACTTCTGTGCGTTTTCTTTCGTCTTGTTTCATTTTTTGCTGGACGATCACGCTCGCCTTCGACATCTTGTCTATGTGCGTCTGCAATTCGCATACCTAGAAAATAAATAATTTATTTTTAAGAAAGGTTTGAAACAATTTGACTGCGTACTCTTTCCATCAGCATGCGGCAGTGGCTGGTAGGAGATTGGTCGCGTTTCTGCCCTTGCCCCTCGTCCAAACTGGCCAAACGTCTCTTTAACCTCTCAATCTTAAAGCGAAAGTTAATTTTTAAAGGAGCAAATTGGCTTTTTCTTTGATGAAATACCTGATGGTCCTTATCGGCCAGGATGGCCTGCAGATCGTTGACTTCCGCTTTGCGCTTAGCCCTTTCCATCTTAAGTTCGGCGCTTAACTTCCTCGTCACCGCGACCAGTTCCATGTACGCTTTCTGCAAAAGCATCAAATAATGCATGCTAAACATTTTTAGTTTGGACGAAAAGTTGTGATAAAAAAAACGAATATTGCGAGACTACTTCCACCTTGATCGCCTATCCTCTCTCTGGCTTGGCGTGAATCAATCATTGAAGCATGCTGACTAATTGGCTAACTTGGTTATAAGCTAAGTTGGTTAAAAAGGTTTACCAAGTTGTACCTGACGGTCGGACAACAGATTCTGAAGTTTATTTAACAAGAGTATTTAATCTAAACTCTTTAAAGCATAGGCTTCTGCCTTTGTTGTGCATGTCTATCAAGGTTATTGCATGTCGTTCAGTTTGTTATTGTATCAACTTATAACCTACTGGGCTATAAGAGTGGATAAGAAATTCATTAATTACACTTTTATCTCAATACTATTCACTTTCCAAACCAGGGAGGAAATTTTTAAGCTTTAGAAGATTGTCAAGAAGGATTCAGAAAGAAATGTGTTGGCCTAGGAGCTTAGGATGAAGGTCCAGGCCATCTGTATCGGCTTCGAAAGCTTTTAATCTGAAGTGACTGGATTCTTTGAAGGGTATACAGTTTGATACAGTTCAGTCCTTACAGATTGATTGTAGTAACAATGTGTAGGTGACTTTGCAGTGACTTTTGGTCTGATTGCCTCTCTTTTGGGTAGTTTACCTCATATAGTAAGTTATATTTTTTATTCAATTGTGGTGAGCTATTATGGCGTATTATGGCTGAGGTCGGTTGACTCCACAGAGGCCGAAGGTACTGGAGTGCAGCAATTAGCCGAGAGCAGCGTTTGGCATTATAGCCAAGTCATCTGTGTATAGAAGGCGAGAATCAGGCTAAAGCCGCGAGTACCCTTGCTGTCGTCGACGGTGTTCCAATAGTGATAGCTCGTCGGGTTGACGAGTCTGCTGTCGTTGTTACCAATGTCGGTTAATTAGTGATTGGTGAGATCTCGTCTGGTTGACGAGTCTGATTCCAGCAAGGCAGTGGCCCTGCTTATATTGGGAAGAGCTTTACTCTGATTGGCTGCTGGAGGGCGAGAACTTCCATAAGTGGTAGTAATAGTAACTACAAGTGGCCATTACAACTGTATTATCTAGAAGTTGGAACGCATGGTTGAACCCCGCAGTTCCATTCCGTAGTTGGAACTCAAATCGTACCAATGGACAACTTGGTTGTTGGGAGAGGAACGGTGATGTAGGAAATTGGAAGAGAGGTCATGCGATAATAAATTAGGGTTATTTGGTTCGTCGATCTTGATCCTCCATTTATTGCAATATTCTTTCAAGCGGAGATGTTCCTATAGGTTTCTGAAGCCTCTAGACTGGGTTTGCTGAAAGGTTGGTGGGTGTACAAAAACAGAAGTATACTTCCTGTAAGCTAAAAAAGGTTGATATTGAGATAAATTGGACAGTATTAAAGAAATATCAATATATATACTGATGTAACGAAAGGGAAATACAAAACTGCCATTTTTCACTTCTTGGCAGATAAGGTACTGGACTGTTGTTGCCGGATTTTATGAAGATCTACTGTAGAAATGATCCTGTGAACGTATGATCTTAAAAAAACAAAAAGGCCAGAGGCTTCGGCGGGAATTGAACCCACGTCCGCGGGGTCTACGAGCCGAGAGTCTCTCACGCTAACCACTCGGCTACCTAACTAACGAAATGGCTTCTTGGCAGATAAATTAAAATTACGAATCGAGTCAAAATTACCTTTCCTAGCGGCGAAGGTTCTCTGTATTTCTTTTTCAGGTTGATAAGGGCTTTTCCGATTTCGTCGTTTTTCCTCGTCAGAATCTCGAGTCGAGATGTGAGTTCGTCAGTCGTCTCGATCAGCGCTGCTTTGTAGTCGTTGATCACTTCCGAATGGCTCTCCTCGATCGTTTTGTTGATCCTTTGCAAATCGAGCAATCTGCAGAAAAGAAAAAGTATGAAGTTTTGTTTTAAAAAATGTAAAACAAATCGTTTAGGAATTCACTTCAGCTTGAGGTCTTCAACTTCGCGCGATACGCATTCCATTTTCTTTTCGTTCCGCTTGCTCGCCTTCTGGTAGATGCATACCTCGTGCAGAAGCGCGTCGTTTTGAGACTGGAAAATTCTTTTATAAAGCAGTTCTTACTTGAAATAATTCTAACACTCACTTTAAGAAATGACACCGTTTTGGCATTGATGGGTTCTTTATTTTGAAAAGAAGTAAAAATCGACTTGTGCTTCGGGTTTCGATCACGGTTATAGTCAAATTCTTCATCCTGTAAGTTTTATTTTAAGTAAAAAAATGAATTTAAAAACATATTATTATTAGATTCACAAGTTTTCGTGGTCCGCTTGACCAATTAATATCTTTCAGTTAATTAAGATTTTTATTGAGATAAAAAAAGTTAGTGTCACGAGTGGGATTCGAACCCACGATTTTCGTTTAGATACGCCGCGACTCTACCACTTGAGCTGTCGTGACTTCGATCCAATCGGATACTAACTTCCCATCTCTACCTCACCTCTCGAATTGTCCTTCCTTTTTGCCATTTTTCAAATGTCGTGTAATCTATATGATTCTCGGCGACAAATGAAATGGCTACCGAGTGCTTTAGTGAAGATATACTTTATTTTAACTTATTAAATTCATTAGTTTTCGTGGTCCGCTTGACCAATTAATATATTTTAATTAATTAAGGTTTTTAGTTGAGATTAGATCCCAATGAATTATCCAAATGAGATTACATACATAATATATTAATTGGTCAAGCGGACCACGAAAACTAGTGAATGTAATGAAAAGCTAAAAATACATAAAAGTATGTTGAAGCCATGGCCCGAGGAGAAACGGAAAAACAAAATAATACTAACAAGGTTGCGAATAGGTCACACCCGTCTCACGCACGGTCACCTCTTAGTGGGTAAAAGTCAAAAACGCTGCCCACTCTGTGGAAACCCGGTAACGATGAGACACATTAGAGGAATAAGTTAAGAGAGTACCGAGAACGATGTGACCTACCGTCTAATCTGGAAATAGTTCTTAAGCATAACAGTGACTTCAAAGATAATCTTATTAGGTACTTAAAATGGATAAATGCGTATGGATACATATAACCAGACGCGGTATATCTCCAATTTGCAGTGTGAATGTATTTATAAGCGTGGATGATGAGGTATGTCTGGGTGTGGCTGTGACTAAATATCGAGTAGCTCACAGGCCCGCCAAATTAGTTTAGGTAATTATAAGTTGGGTGATGTGACAGGTCGCCGCTATCAAGGTTGTAGTAATACTGCCGAGATTCTGCGACTTGCCCATTATGAATGTATTTAATAGCGTGAATGTTTTGTGTAAGTGGACGTGGATGTCGAGGAATATCGAGTAACAACAGTAATATCCAGTACTACCTGGGTCACCCCTTTAGCCTCACGAAAACTCATTTTCTAATTGAAGCAAGTACTTTCTCAAGGGAAGAATCGATTTCTTGGTCAGGGCGAACAACTATTGGGGAGAGTTTTACTAACAGGGAGACTCTGCACGTCCACTCCTCTTCGACCTGTTCCTAAGTACATGTACTACGTGGCCCAAAAGTGACAAAACAGAACACTTTCTGGTATGTCAAGGCATGGTCACAAAAAATTACATTTACCTAGGAATAACTTTTTCTAAAGCTTTTCTTGGGAATTGACTAGCTGTTTTATTAACTAATGCGAAACGCGACAAAACTAGGTTGTCGGGTGTTTTGGTCACCATCGGAGAAACATATTCTTAACCTCAAGCTCAACTCATTAATTACCTCTGTTGTGTTTTCAGCGAGGTTCGATTGAACATCAAGCAATTCCGTCGATAAAGCCGAAGAGTCTTCCTCATACAAGTCCAAGGTGTCGCCGAAATCCTGAAAAAAATCGTTGAGCCAAAACAAGCCGAAAAGTCTTGGGTTAGGTGTTACCTTGTACGTTACATGCTTGAGGGATTTCCCTTCCGGAGGATATTTGTTGAAAGGTGACGACAGCTTTTTACCCCTGATCTGCCTCGCGAGTTCTCGCATCAACTGAACCCGCAGGTGACCATCCTCGGACGACTTCAGCTTCAGAATCCACAAACGGCTAAGCTGTTCTTCTGAAACAGGTAAAAACCAATCGAGTCGATCTCTGTTGTTGATCCCCTCAGGAAATGCCCGATGGAAAAAATAAAAAAATAAAAAATAAACAAATCAGCATGTGTTTAAGACTTCAATGAACGGGTTCAACGACACGGTAATGCGCCAAGTAACACGTGTTCAGTCTCGAATGAACGGGCGCAACAGGTGCACGGCAAATATATCGGGCATGTCTGAACTTGCCTGGACTTATTTTTAATAAAATCTTTTTACCTTCGTAAGTCAAAAGGCTGAGATGGACCGGCCTCACAGACGAAAGAGCGGCTTTGAATTTTTCCTCGAGGCTATTTTGAACCGGGTCGTCCATTGTTAAAAAAGCTCAGCTACTCTACCCCGTCTAAAAACGTTATTCGGCGGATACTTCACACTAATCCTTTATTATCTAAATTACAACACAACCACTGAAAATTTAGTCATGTTGGTTTCCATAGAAACTACTATCTGACCTGTTTAATTAATTTTTGATTAAAAACATGGTTGTTTTACTAAACGATACAAGTAACCACTTCAAGATTTTTATTCAACCTTACTACCAAATTGACTAATTTCGTGGTTCGCTTGACCAATTAATATATTACAATTAATTAAGGTTTTTAGTTGAGATAAAAAAGTCAATGGCACGAGGGGGATTCGAACCCACGATCTTCGGCTAGATACGCCGCTGCTCTACCACTTGAGCTATCGTGACCTCGATCCACTCGGACACCAACTTCCTATCTCAACCCCACCTTTTCAGTTTTCCCTCCTTTTTGCCATTTTTCATCTCGCTCGTGCCATTGACTTTTTTATCTCAACTAAAAACCTTAATTAATTGTCATGTATTGATTGGTCAAGCGGACCACGAAATTAGTGAATTTAATGAATTAAAATGAAGTATACTTCACTAAACCTCTCCGTGGCCATTTCATTTGTCACCGAGAATCCAATCCAATTACACGACATTTGAAAAATGGCAAAAAGGAGGGAAAATTCAAATGGTGCGGTTGAGATAGGAAGTTGGTGTCCGAGTGGATCGAGGTCACGATAGCTCAATTGGTAGAGCAGCGGCGTATCTAGCCGAAGATCGTGGGTTCGAATTCCGCTCGTGCATTGACTTTTTTATCTCAACTAAAAACCTTACTTACTACCAAATTTAACATAACAGGTTTTGCTATTGTTTTAGATCATCAATGCTAAAAAACATTATATAAACAGAAAGCTGGCTAGCTATCCTACTAATATTTACGAAATAAAATTAAATTTAGACATGGGTACAATAATAGGCATCGTAAAACATAAATAGTTTATCTACAAGTAGAAGTAAAAGAAAAAATAAATAAAATGAATTCTATAAGTTACACAAAATCATAAATATTTTAGTATTTAGGGACCGTTAGTTAATGATTACCTTCCAATTAATTAGGGTTTTTAGTTGAGATAAAAAAGTCAGTGTCACGGGCGGGATTCGAACCCACGACCTTCGGCTAGATACGCCGCTGCTCTACCACTTGAACTATCGTGACTTCGATCCACTCGGTCACCACTTCCCATCTCAACCCCACCTTTTGAATTTCCCTTCTTTTTGCAATTTTTCATAAGGTGTCCAAAATTCAAAAGGTGGGGTTGAGATGGGAAGTGGTGTCCGAATGGATCCAAGTCACGATAGCTCAAGTGGTGGAGTAGCGGCGTATCTAGCCGAAGGTCGTGGGTTCGAATCCCGCTCGTGACACTGACTTTTTTATCTCAACTAAAAACCTTAATTAATTGAAAGATATTAATTGGTCATGCGGACCACGAAAACTAGGGAATTAATAATTACTTAGAGATCGTGACATGCGGTATGGACCCAAGACCTCTAAGTAATCATACAAATGTTGAAACAGTCTAGTAAGCCTTTGAGAATTTTCATCCTGGCACTTTCGGGGTTATGAACCTCTTTGCTGTTTTCCCATTTGGGCCATTTTGCAATATTGAAGTTTTGTGTTATATTGGGAAGTAACGATCGGTACGAATGGATCTTAGGACAAAGTAATAGGTAGCTGATAGGATCCAAAGTGCCACACCACTCAAAGGTTTAGTGCACATCAAAGTGCACAAGAAGCAGGTGGAAATGCTGTCTGCAATGTGATGTGCTTGTTAGATAGCCCACTTGCAACTCAAAAAGCCGAATTTATGTTGGAGGACATTAGTAGGTCGTCTATACAAGGAACGACTTGAAAGAAACTAACCAACCAGTCCGTAATGGCTCACTTCCAATGAAACAGAATGGGACGCCGCAGAAGCAACTGATTACTGATTACAACACGGGTGCCTAGTCACTCGACTAATTTCGCCCTTTTTCGGGTGATTTTCATGATGGACGATCAACAGGTGGAGAAGTTGAAAAACAATTTTATACAACTTTACGATTCTTGGATACAGGAGGAAATACGACATTAACAATCATGACATAAAGTTGGACAAATGCATGAATGCAAAACCTTCCTATTCTTTTCTTCTGTAGCAATTATAGTACAGTAATATGTTAGAAATTACTTTACTTTTACCATTTACTATGGACTTCACAGGAAGGTTGAGAACTAAAAGTTAATTTACTCAGTTTGAGCAATTCGATCCAAATTTGTGGATTTTAGCTTTGAAATTATCTCACTCTGATTTGTTGGGGATTAATGAATGCAGGTTTTCCTTAGGTCAATTTGAAGTTTCTTGCCGATCAATTATTAGGTGGAGAGCAGGATGCATCCTATATGTGCTGGTTATTCCAAAAAAAGAGGGGCCTTTTGGCAATATTGCATGTTGTTTTGCTCTCTGCGGCTCCAGGACTCCGAGGTATAGTTTTGATTGCCTATTTTTACTCCTTACGACCGTCTTTGTCATCTGCGTACGTCCTTCGCTGGAAATCTATTTAAATTGTTTTGGAAAACTTCCAACCTTTTTAATACGACTTAATTAGCGTTCGTTTGAACGATTAAACGCTCCGATTTGTCGAACACGATTACGATTAGTGTGATATCAAATCGCAAAAATCACTGCAAATAAGAGTCAAGTCATTACACAATATCATCATTATTTATCACTGTTTATGATTCCAGTTTGAAACGTCGAGAATCCGCTCAATGAGAAACGTTAATAAATTATTTTCTATTCCTGACTATGTTTAAGCATACCTTAGCAAATTTGAGACACGCCGTTATCTATCGTTTTTTCTCTCAAAAATAAAAAATAAAATAGCTGCCCAATCTTATTTATCACCTCGTATTACAATGTATTGTCAGGATGACCTAAATGGGACGTACTATCGCCACTCGGTGCGCTGACAACCTGATTTTATAGCTAAGTACTAGGTTAACTTCCCATAGGTTATGATGATGACCTAGTAGTAACAATAAACAGCATATTTGATTAATCAGTATCGTACGAAATGCAGTGCTCTCGATTTAGAAGAAAGGTGGAAATAGGCCTTGGTGCCAACCCAAACAAAACCACACTAGCAACAGGGAAACTATCTAAACGCGCCCTCCGAAATGAAAATATTGCTTCCTCCAGAGGGATGAATTATCCAGGCCTTACACTAGATCAAAAGCTCGTCTGGAATATTGGAATATATACAAATATACGAAAAACAAAGGTTGAATAAGGTGTGGGCCGAAGACTTTATAGCTCTACCTGCGTTGGCGCTTCTCCTCGACCTACCTTGTTTTGGTACATAGATGGATTCAAAATGGAACGTGGATTGGCTCATCGGATAAAAGTTTGACCTAGCAAAACCTTTATATTAGATATTCATTGTATATATTTTTACATTCAGATATAATAGATATTTCACTCAACACACTAGTCGCTTTCATTATGCGGATCCCACCGAGGCAGTTGGGAGTGGCGGGATACTCATTAAAGTTCTACCTTTTATCCTTCCAGTCCTTCTACATATCTACAATTTTTCCTTACAGAAGTCCATTTTTCCAAAAAGAGACATCTTAGCGGTCGAGAGAGGCGGAAGCACATTAACGGAAAAGGTCCAAAATTAATCCCCAACATAGAGGTTTTCACATCGAGAGATCGAATCAGAAAATTAGAGGCAGAAATAAGAAAAGCACCAGAAGGATATGTATAATCACGAAAAATTCATGTAATTTTTAGTACAAAACATAAACGAACAAAAATACCCTCACGACAGTAAGGAATGAGAGGTAGATTCTTTTGCGGAATCAATTCAGAGGTGCTAAAAATTTGCAACTTTAAAAATTATAAAATCATTTGAAAACCGTGGGTATATATTATTATTTATTTTATACAAAACGTAACATCATGAACATATTGCAATAAGATAAAAAAAATTAATTGTTTTGGTTTCTTATTAACTGCTGGCGTTACATTAAATTAGATTCGGGCCATTTTTTCCTAGACCACTAAAAATAATGAAAATAAAATAATGCTTTATTAGTTAACTAATTTGAAATTTTATTTAAGTTATTTAATTAATTATTTTTTCGCGTTACTTCAATATTATTTTTTGGTAACAACAAGAGATTTACGGAAAAAGACGTGTGATGGCCACGCCATATTTATTAATAATATACATAATTAATTAAGGTTTTTTTAGTTGAGATAAAAACGTCAGTGTCACGAGCGGGATTTGAACTCACGATCTTCGGCTAAATACGCCGCTACTCCACCACTTGAGCTATCGTGACTTCGATCCACTCGGACACCACTTCCCATCTCAACCCCACCTTTTGAATTTTCCCTCCTTTTTGCTATTTTTCAAAAGGTGTCAAAAATTCAAAAGGTGGGGTTGAGATGGGAAGTGGTGTCCGAATGGATCGAAGTCACGATAGCTCAAGTGGTGGAGTAGCGGCGTATCCACGAAGGTCGTGGGTTCGAATCCCGCTCGTGACATTGAGAGACTTAATACTCTTTAAAAGGATAGTTCCTACTACTTCGAGTTAAGATGAGTTTTGTTTTTGCGATTGAGTGGTAACTGTGTACCGTAATCTTGTGTGAATAAAACAATACAAAGTAATCTGTGTTGTTTTCCGAAGTTATCCTTTTAAAGAGTATTGAACACCACACTCACTCCATCATTTATCATTTCTATTGAGAGACTTATTTATCTCAACTAAAATACCTTAATTAATTGAAAAACATTTTCAATTTATATTTAAGATATAACTTTGTGGAGGTTTTAGTAACTTCGGAAAACAACACAGATTACTTTGTATTATTTTATTCACACAAGATTACGGTACACAGTTACCACTCAATCGCAAAAACAAAACTCATCTTAACTCGATACTAACAATCTAATCGATACTGCCATGTGCTGTCAGGGAAAATCTACGGTGAGTGGCGCTGTTGTATTAACGTAATTCTCAACAGTACTCCCCTCCCCCCAATAACAGCGTCCAAAAATCTGACACTGCACTAAACTCCTCTCTGCCAGAACGCGTCCTGTATTGCTCCATTGGTCCAGTTGCTCTGCTGTTCGATGGCGTGATTAGTCGCTCTGCTGGTGGTTGTGTAGCTTGGGTCAGTGTTGGATCAGTATCGTCAAGCTGGAACGCTGGCTTAAGACGATTAATTGTTACGTTAAGATTTGTTGTATCAGTCAATTTGATTATAAACACCTTGTTGGTTCGGCTTACAACCCTGTACGGACCCATGTAGGCTGGAGTTAAAGGACGTTTACTTCGGTCGTCTCTGAGGAAAACGTGCGTCGCAGTAGTAAGCGCAGCCGGAACAAAGGTTCTCTTGTGATAAGAGTTATTTGTAGGACGTAACTTTCCCAAGCCTTCGCGAAGGTTGTGTAAAAATTCATCTATGTCAGTAAGGATAGACGATGCTCCAAAAAACTCACCTGGTATACGGAGTGTCTGTCCATAAACAAATTCAGCTATGCTGGCCTGTGCGTCGGTTCTAAGGGTGACCCGTAGACCTAAGAGGACAGTCGGAAGTCGGTCTACCCAATGGTTTGAATCCATATGGGCTGTTAGAGCATACTTAAGACTTCTATGCCAACGTTCCACTAGGCCATTCGCTTGTGGATGATATGCAGTAGTCCTAAGTCGCTGGATACCCATTAACTTCAGCAAACACTGGAACAATGAGGATTCAAATTGACGTCCTTGGCCAGTTGTTACTGTACGAGGAGTTCCAAACAGCGAAATCCTTCCTTGATAGAAATCTTCTGCTACCGTTTGTACTGTGATGTCGGGAACAGGAAAAGCCTCGGGCAAAAAAAAAAAAAAATGAAAATCTACGGTGAGTGGCGCTGTTATTGGAGTATTAACGTAATTCTCAACAACTTCAAAGACAACTATCTTAGGGTTTTTCTATGCCTATCCTAGGTTCACAAGGAATCAGTGCCTTCGATAAAAAAGTGCCAATATTGTCTAGTGAAGGTGTAGAAAGAACTGCACCAAAACTAGGGATTAAACCTAAAAATGCCCCTTTGGCCTACTAGCGTTATTAGACCAATGATTACATGCGGGTAGATCTTGCAAATTAAGACGATGGTATTAAAAAGAGAAGCTAGAATAGGTATGCTCCTAGGTCAACCTGGCAGGATTAATGAACAGCTAAAGCCGAGGGAGAAGTCACATGCTGACCTCATATTAGTTATGACGACTGTTGCTACAACTCCAAAATTAAACTTGAATGGCAGGAAAGACCGGACCTCTTTAGGTGAATTATTTTTTAGTAAATTGACGATTCACAAATTGAGGAAAGCACAATAGTCATACGAGTAACAGTCAACAGTCATAAGAGGAAATCCAAAGTCTATAAACCCAGGCTACATTTTTTTAATCGAAAATTATAGCAATTGTATACAGCGCTAGAAAAATGAAAAATAATCTTTGAATCCACTCTGGGAAGATATTAAGATGATCTGCGATTTTGGTGTCAGGTAGCCGGGTTAAGAGGACTAGCCTCTATCAATCACACCACTCTTCCTTTGCACGCCAACAGCAGTGCACATGTTTGAAATTAAATTAAACGGTAAACACGTTCCATTGATTATAAAATAGCCAACATCTGGCCACCACTCCGACCCCGTCTCAAATATGTTAAGGAGAGAGAAAGAGAGTAAAAAGTGTCAACTGAAAAAAACAGAAAAGAATAGAAAAAACAATATAAAAAGTACTACTGGTTCTTATAGAAAGATGCTGGCATCAAGTCAAGCCTGGTAGCGAGTAATTATACTTAACACGTGTGTTTAGAATATTCTGGGGTGGAAAAGAAGATGGAGAGACCTGTCATTCCCACTCGAAAGATCACTACTTATTTATTAACTAGTAATGGACTACCCCCTGTTTGTCCTAGAAAGTTTTTATTTAAATCAATCGCAAAATATTCTATAATAGAAACGGGGAAAAACTTTTTGGCTGTTTTTAATTAGGAAATTTATTTTCAATTGTTTTCTGAAATTTTCAATTACAGATCAATCTTCCTTGTCTCAGTCGGTCTTCGGCCAGACAGTGATATTGTTTAATACTCAGATACATGATTTTCGGAAATCGTGAGATGCGGTCTGGTGTGACGTAGTTTTCAGAAAAACTTTTCCTTATCATGCCAACGTTTCGATCTTTATTGAGATCATCTTCAGTAGAAATACTTTGATTCAATATAAATATATATTTTTTTGCATTGTATAAATTCACTTTTTTCCACATCCTACATGTATTTGTTAAATTTAAACAATTTGTAAATCCCAGGCGCTGAAGATGATCTCAATAAAGTTCGAAACGTTGGCACGAGAAAGAAAATCTGAAACCTACATCACACCAGACCGCATCTCACGATTTCTAAATAAATATCGATTAACGGTCACTAATCACCACACATTTCTACTCAGATAAATATTATAAAATTGAGAGTTATATATTTTTATAAATATAGTTTATTAATATTTTCTTTGGTGATTGATCAGCCTTGTCAGTTTAAATATTTTTCTTTCCAAAAGGTAGATTGGGGATGAGGCCAGGAAGACAGAAACGTTTATTTTCTTGTCGAGCTTTCGGCAGAACATATCGCCTTCATCAGGACTATATAATATCGATGAATGGCCTCTTCCCAAATCTACCTTTTGGAAAGAAAAATATTTAAATTGAGAATGCTGATCAATCACCTAAGCAAATATTAATCAACAGCGGAGTGCTTCATCGATATTGTACAGTCCTGAAGGCGATATGTTCTGCCGAAAGCTCGACAAGAAAATAAATGTTGGTTCTGGCTTCCTGGACTCATCCCCAATCTTCCTTTTGGAAAGAAAAATATAGTTTATATTTATAGGGTGACATATATATCCAATTATTTCGTATTTATATTTTTATATGCAGGGTGCTCTTTTTAGATGCTTGAATTTCTCTCGAACCAATGAAGCTATAAAAAAATTACATGTTTAATATTTGTTAGCCTAGTATCAATTTTTTTCACCTTTTTTTTGGAGAAAAATGATAAGGGTAACACAGGCTCAGTTCAACTTCAAAAGTTCAAATACTGCCCTACACATCCTGGCACACTATTTTAAACGAATTTTTACGTTGAAAACACCGGTGTAATCCGATTTTAAATTGTTGAGAATATGAAAAGTTACGGCAAAAAGTTTAAAAAACGCATTTCGTTTGTTTCGTTGTTAATTCCAATAATTTGCTTATTCAATGAAGTAAACATTAATTGCCTTTATTGTTTACATTCTGCCGGAGTTAGTCGAACTCGCATGAGAGCAAATCTTAATTGCTGTACATAAATAAATTTTACAATAGTACCTGTTCGTTATATTCACATTTCCATTCAAAATGAGCCGAAGAACACATTTTTCCTATCAACAGCGAGTTGATACGACTGTTTTATTGATGGTGGTGATATTGTGCGTGATGCAGTCGAGTTGTACTCCCAGAAATTTCCTGATGGCCCCAGGGTAAACCACAAAACGTTTATTCGTGTCGCTCGCAATATGAGGCGATACGGATCAGTTGCTGTTCCAACACCAAGAAACCGGTAGCGTAATTTCGACGAGGAGCTGAATATTTTACTGTAATTTCAATTAATTAAGAATTTTAGTTGAGATAAAAAAGTCAGTGTCACGAGCGGGATTCGAACCCACGACCTACGCTGTTGTTCTACCACTTGAGCTATCGTGACTTCGATCCACTCGGACACCAACTTCCCATCTCAACCCCACCTTTTGAATTTTCCCTCCTTTTTTGCCATTTTTCAAATGTCGTGTAATCGATGTCATCGAGCGATCTCATTAAGCAACAATGTCCATTAGACAGAGATAAAACCTATGACGTACTTTTTTTCTTCCATGTCATACACCTTAATAATGACGTATTTTGTAGAACGGTTTTGTATGTCACGGCTAAGTCAACTCACAATCGTAACAGAAATTGTTCGATACATTAATTTAAAAAAATTAATTAATTAAATATATTATTAGGTTAAAAAATGGGGATGTTTGGACCAAATTTTTAATATCTCCATTCAAGATTACCCACTATGGGAATAGTACATAAATAGTACATTAAACATCAAGCTCAACTGGCATAGGGTCACTTATGTAGTACCAGTTACATGTAGTATACATCATGCTTAACTGGCATAGGGTCACTTATGTAGTAGCAGTTACATGTAGTAAACATCATGCTCAACTGGCATAGAGTCACTTATGTAGTAGCAGTTACATGTAGTAAACATCATGCTCAACTGGCATAGGGTCACTTATGTAGTAGCAGTTACATGTAGAAAACATGTAAAATGACGTAAATTAATTGAGAAAAATTCATTTAGAAGTTGGTCCTCCTGTATAGGATCTCCTGTAAGAACGGCGTATTATGACCTTTGGAATTTGTGATTTTCTTGAGATGGTTAAAAATATACATTTATTTACAGCGCTTGATGAATACTAGTCATTGTCTTATACACTGCTAAACTGATTGATTGGTGAGTAAATTTGATGCAATTCAATAATTAACAAAACTCTTCTGTCATGAAATCAATATTTAAAATCTTTGCTATATTATATACTGTATATTGAAGAGCACCACATATAAAAAGGTGTTTTTGCCATAAAATACAAATAAAACTCTTTCTCGTCATTTTTCCCAATTATTCCACTTCGGGCTGGTTCAAATAAACCACGTTCTCGAGGGGTTTCTCACACATTTCAGTACATTTTGAAAGGATTATCGGGACAAGTGGCGGTCGAGGGGAGAAAAAGCTTTCATTTACATGATTTAGACGGATGAACAGTGAAGGGGGTGGCAAAAAACAAAACAGCATGGAGGGTGAGGAGGATCACTTCTCTGGGTCAGAGCCCTCGTGGAGACAAAAAAAGGATTACTCAAACAGGAGTCTTCCAAAGGACTGTTTACATTTTTCTATGTACCGGGATAATAAAGCTAAAAAATACAGTCGAAGGAAAATTTCCCTCGTGAGACGTGATATTTTCCGGGCGCTACAGAAATTCCCAGGACAGATTGGTTTTGAGACTGCATCAAAGCCCTGCCAGGCTTCGGGGGAAATAACAAAATTACCCTCGTTAAGGTACCAGGGCACTCATGGCAGAAGTGCACAAGGAGGTCGATAAATTTACGAAGGAATTTGTTCGTAGCGATTGCCAGTGGCCTCCAGACCGTTGCTCCATCCCATGTTTGTAACCCTCACTGCGGTTGCTGAAAAAAACCGGAAAAAAACGATGATTGTATTGTTAAATACATGAAATGCTTCACAAACGATTTTCTCTTCAAGTAAAGTAGGCTAAAAGAATTGTTTTATCCTTCTTCACAAGTTTTTATTTTTTATTGGGTTTCGTGGTCCGCTTGACCAAATAAATTCTTTTCAATTAATTAAGGTTTTGATTGAGATAAAAAGGTCAGTGTCACAAGCGGGATTCGAACCCACGATCTTCGGCTAAATACGCCGCTACTTTACCATTTGAGCTACTTCGATCCACTCGGACACTAACTTCCTCCCATCCCAACCCCACCTTTTGAATTTTCCCTTTTTGCCATTTTTCAAATGTTGTGTAATTTATTTGATTCTCGGTGGCAAATGAAATGGCCACAGATAGCTTTCGTGAAGATATACTACATTTTAACTTATTAAATTCACTAGTTTTCGTGGTCCGCTTGCCGTAACTTTTCATTTTCTCACCAATTTAAAATCGGATTACACCATTATTTTCAGCGTAAAAATTCCCTTAAAATAGTGTGTCAGGATGTATAGCGTCGTATTTGAACTTTTGAAGTTGAACTGAGCCTGTTTTGCCCTTATAATTTTTCTCCAAAAAAAGTAAAAAGAATGTGTACTAATTGAAAATTCAAAAGGTGGGGTTGAGATGGGAGGTTAGTGTCCGAGTAGATCGACGTCACGATAGCTCAAGTGGTAGAGTAGCAGCATATCAAGCCGGAGGTCGTGGGTTCGAATCCCGCTCGTGACACTGCCTTTTTTTATCTTTAACCTTAGCCTTTCACCATTACGGAATTTTTTAAACCAACGCTGCACTATGGATTCATTAATGTTTCGAGCTGTTTGCGCTGCACTTCGCACAAGATTAAATACGTGGAAATAAACTTGCAGAAAATCGTTCTTTGTCAGACATCTTTTTGTTTGAAGGCACTGAACAGACTGAAATGAAAGGATTTTAAGAGAAAGAGAGGGAGATAAATAGCTTTAAAAAATAATGGATTAGTTTTGTTTACAAAATTGGTATTAAAAGTGAAGCGAAAAGGAAAACCTGCATTTATTTCTCCATCAACCCAATAATTGTCAAAATAGTATTTTTTCTAAACTATCTGAATCATAGATGAAATAGGCTGTATTGTTCTTAGGACAGTCCGTGGATCGATTTTACCCGTTGCCGCGAGCTCTTCGACGTGTTTTTTCCCTCGTTTCTTTTTTCTTCAACCCCTTCATATTTTACAGTCTCGGACCACACGTGTCACGGCCTGCAGCACGGCCGAAGACTCGTCATGTGCAAGTAGAGTTATTTTTTACCGACGAGGAACCTAACGAACTATCCTTTTTACCTCAGCCCCTTCGGATTTTTTTATATTTTATTTTTTACTACTGAAAAGTCAAAGGGCGACCAGCTTAATATATATCTATCAACAAATTAGGGAGTAAAGCAATTAAGAAGGAGACGGAGAACCGCCTCGATCGAGTGTTTTTAATTCCCCGTCCAAGTTTTCGTATGGATTCTACTTATAATAAAAACCTAAAAACCGATGAGATATTTTTACCGAGGGGGTTATCTTTAAATGTAAAATTTATTGCAAGAGACAGTGCTTTCATTTCTTTTTAAACGTACAAAGATACCCTAATTTTTCTAAGAATATGTGGCCATCAGCAGTATAACTATTTGGAAGTAGAAATAGTAAAAATGGATTTTTCGGGAAGATTGAGATGCATGGTACATCAAAACATAAATTCTGAACCTGCCTTTTTGTACTATTTTTAATAAAGAGATTTTTATTTCATTTAATTATAATTTTGTCACTGCAATGGCAACCAGTCTCATTGTAACATGATAACTTAGTATAACCCGAAAACTAAGATTATAAGAAGTTAATTAAAGTTTTTAGTTGAGATAAAAAAGTCAGTGTCATGGGCGGGATTCGAACCCACGACCTACGCCGCTGCTCTACCACTTGAGCTATCGTGACTTCGATCCACTCGGACACTAACTTCCCATCTAAACCCCACCTTTTGAATTTTCCCTCCTTTTCGCCATTTAATAAGATTATCGCCTTTCTCTCTTTCACTCTCCCTCTCTCTCTATTTATCTGTCTATCTGTCAATCTATCTACCTTTATCTCTATATCTATCAATCTCTTCTCTCCTTTGCCTGCTGCCTGTCACTCTCTTCCTCTTTCACACTCTGGCTCTCTTTTTCTAAATATCTGTCTCTCTACCTATTTTATCTCCCCTTTTCTCTCTTTCTGATTATTTCATTCTTTCTCTCTCTATTTATCTATCTATCCGTCCATCCATCTACCTATATCTCAATAGGGATTTTATCTCGCCTTTTCTTTCTTTCTGACTATTTCATTTTCTCTCTTTTCTTTCTCTCTTTCTATCCATCCATCCATCTACCTATATCTCTATGTCTATCAGTCTATCAATCTATTTTTTCGTCTGCCACTCTCTTCCTCTCTCACTCTCTTTTTCTAAATATTTGTCTCTCTACCTATTTTATCTCCCCTTTTCTCTCTTTCTGACTATTTCACTCTCTCTCTCTCTCTCTCTCTTTATTTATCTATCTATCCATCCATCCGTCTCCCTATATCTTTATGTCTATCAGTTATCAATCTGTTTTTTCGTCTGCCTGTGCCTGCCACTGTCTTCCTCTCTCACACTCGCTTTTTTTCTAAATATTTATCCCTCTGCCTATCGATATCTCTCTTTACCTCCCTTTTTCTCTCTTTCTAAATTTCTCTCTCTACATATCTTTCTCTTGAGTAAAGCAGGATCAGTATCAAGGACAGGTCCTTGCTTTGACTCACGCTAGACAACTACAACTTTAATAGGACCTGCCTAGGTATAACTTCACAAAGACATTTCCAATTATAGTACCGATAGTTTGGTATTAAATCTGCTGATATTGAAATCCTATTCATCCAGGTTCCGGCATGCTTTTGCCAAGTATTAGTACGTTTTATAGAACGCCTATTGACCCACCATTGTTTCAAACACCAAAATAAAATAAAATGTAAGTTGTGTTTATTTTAAGATTAGGAACTAATTAATAATAGAGCGACAATCCCTCGAGCCTGCAGCAATCTTTTCACCGACCACGCTGAATCTGGTGAAGTAGAGGAGGGATTCTGCAGAAAGGGTGGGAGACGTTCCGACCAATGGGGACTTCGAGGGACACGTGTCGCGCCCCAACTTCAAAAATAAAAGGCCACTTCGGCCCGACAGTACTTATCCTGCACTTGCTCGGATTAACACTTTGGATACTTCTCAGAACTGGATTAAGTTAGCGTAAGACAGATTTTTTTTCTAATGGGGTTTTTGAGTCAAATTCCAGACAAAATGGTTAAGTTTTACAAGAACAAAGAATCAATATTTGAAATTATAACACAGTGTTGATATATTTTATGGTTTAAACTTGCCAGAACTTATTTTTTTAATGTTTTTGTTTTTAATTTGGTGTTTACAGAAAGACTTGAAATAAAAATTTACAATGTTCCTTTTATATTGCTTCTTAACAATTCTTAAACAAAATGGAAACTATTCAAAACTTAGAAACTTAATTTTTTTCTAAATCAAAGTAGGTTTTAAAATTTGGCTTACACTACCATTGAAGTCATTTGATCTTCTACTTATTTATGTATCTTATTTACCCAATAAATTAGTAAATCTTGGTTAAATCAGGGTGTCCGACTCATATTTGCCACGCTAGAGCTTCTGGGTTTGAATCATGAATAGAACAAGGAGACAAATATGACAAAGTCAATTGGTTCTGACCCCTCATCTGTGGTGTAGTTGGGCTAATGTGAATTACTTTTACTTTACTTAATTTAAATTTTATCAAAATGAGCTTACTTGTGCAATATTTTATTTGGATGTACCTAAAAGAAAATTTAAAATTTGAATGTGCCAGTGCTTAGCTTGTCAAATAGATGTTCTACTTACTTCTTTTACTTTAATAGCAAAATATCTGCTTAAATTACTGAAATGTGAAATATTGACCTATAGATTGATCGTCTTTGATTCCTGAACTGCTGGTTTCAAAATAAGACAAAGGCATGATGATCAAAGATAACTAAACTTTAAAATAAACGGATAAATATGACAACTTAGCGGTTTTGATAAATATATAGAATTTCTTTCTAGGATGATGCACATGTTTGATTTTATCAAAGAAGAGTGGAGCAAGGATGATCCGCATGAGATAAAAGAAGAATGGTCGAATGACGAGTACGTGTATATGGACGTAAACAGTACATACATCACACTGCCAGAGGACAATGTATTCATCAGGGCTGACAGTGTCGACAGCGGTCTGCCTGACGAGAACAAACTCTTTGAGGTAAAATCCTATCAAATCGTTTAAAAATATCCGTTTAAAAAGAAAATTCTATTAGGATGACAAAAACGTTTACTTTGGGCACCTTACATGCAGAGATTATGCAGATGAAAACTCGACCATTGATAATTCAGTGGTGATATGCAACGATCATGAACTACTCCAGACTCACCTTCCGACGAAAGTGAATGAGGTCGCAAGCTACCACATCAACCAGGAGACGGGAGAGTTGGTCGAAGAAGAAGAAGATGAAGGTGTTGAAGAAAAAAGCCTCGGTTGGTAGATAAAACTTTTAAAAGATAGTTATCATGATTCTTCTTCGGTTTTTCATAATTATTTTGCCAATTTTGTTTCCGGATATGAAAGATTTACAATATTTTAATCGATAGGGCATGACAGAACTGTGTGAATAGTGTTAAATGTTGTAGAAGCTGCCTTAGAGTGCAGGTGGGAGGGCTGTTACTGGCTGTTCCAAACTCAGCAGGACCTGGTTCGTCATATCGAGAGCCAGCATGTTGAGCGTGCGAGGAAGAGCGACGAGTACCCATGCCAGTGGAAAGATTGCCCGAGGAGATATCAGCCCTTCAATGCCAGATATAAGCTTCTTATACACATGAGAGTACACTCTGGTGATAAACCCAACAAATGCAGCGTAAGGTTTTTTTGTGTAATTTAGTCTTTCTATATGTTTTTATATATACATTTTATTTTTATATTTACAGTACCCAGGCTGTTCGAAGGCTTTTTCTAGAGTTGAAAATTTAAAAATCCACCAAAGATCGCACACCGGTGAAAGGCCTTACATCTGTCAATTTCTGTCGTGCCGAAAGGCTTTCAGCAACAGTTCAGACAGAGCAAAACACCACAGGACTCACATTAATCTGGTAACTTTCTTTGCAATTTCCCTTAAAATATGAAAAATAGAACAACAAACAACATTTGCTGTGCTAGTGGTTCTGGGTTTGAATCCCAGCATCCTTGGCTTTTTAACTGAGAATAATAGTTAAAAAGCAATGTACAGTGTTTTTACCCCTCATCGGTGACACCCAACAAGTTAAACAGTAAATCCTGTATAAAAAGACTAACTTAAAAACAATGTAATAATTTATTAAACTTAGAACATTTGTTATAGTCAAATGTTAAATGTTGCTGTTTTTTCCTCAGAAACCTTATGTTTGTCATGCCAAAGGTTGTGGCAAGAGGTACACAGACCCAAGCTCGCTGAGGAAGCATGTGAAACTGCACTATCAAGTCATCCCTGGTCCAAAAAAGCTGGTGAGATTTCTTGTTTTAATATTCATTATAATAAACGCACGAATAAATTTGTTTATGGAATATAAGAATGCTCTGTGTATGGTTTAAGTTTGAACAAAAAAAAAAATATTAAAAAAAAACAGTTAATGCAAAACAGCGTTATCCACTAACTATAGTCTTAATAGCTTCCACTGCAACGTAAAAGATCAATTGTGATATTGACCCTTCTTTATTTCCAAAAGGCAGAAAAGTGCACTACCCTTAAGGTGAGCACTTATTTTCCTTAAGCATTGGTTCCTTTTCACTTTTTTCCTTTAGTGTTGGTATCGCCATTCTGAAGAGGCTCTTACCACTTCCTGTACGCTTTGCAGTGGAAGTTTTACTGTTGTAAGCAGACACACAGTGTGTGTGTGTGTGTGTGTGTGTGTATGTGCGGTGAGAATAAAGGCTTATTATTTTTCTTAATTCGTTCCTGCTGAGAGAAGCAAAGGTATTAAGGAGCTTTTTTATTGTTTTGCACCTAGTGAATTCATCCAGTGTGTGGTATCTTCTTTCTCCATTCATGTCTTCAGTTTCACTTTCAGCAAGCCAATTTGTGGTTCTGTTCCAAAAGTTGTGACGGCTGTTTTTCCCCCCTTCTTCTTCAATGGATACCAGGAACTGGAGGAGTTCCCTCCTGAGCACTGCAGCTGTACGGCTTATTGTACTTTATCCCTGGCTCCATTTTTGGTGGCTCGCAACTCGAGTGTGAATTTGAGTCCCTGGTTGCCGATGTTCTTCCATCAAAGAAACTCATGTTTGAAGGGAGTTAGGACCAAATTCAGGGTTGCTGAGATCTGATCCCGCCCCTTCCATTGACGAGTGCTGTGTCAATTTCTTTCAATTGCGGCCACCGGTCCCCTTAGATATCAGAAAAAATCCAGAGGCGACGGTGGGGATCGAACCCACGACCGCGGGATCTACTAGCCGAAAAAATCTGACGCCTTAACTACTTTGCTACTGCAGCCCCCCACGGCTGCTCTTATTTTTCCAAGATTGTCAGCCTGTTCATGTCTGTCCTAGAGGATGCACTAAATCACAATTCGGCCCTTTGACTCCTGCCTTACTGTGCTCCATTATCCATCTGAACACCATAATAAGCCCCTTTCTTTATTTTTATTCCTTTTTAGGTTTTTATGATGGCGTTATCTTAGATCAGATTTGTATGCTATGCTCTGGATGCATGGATGCTTCGGGGACAATCCCAATGCCCTCCTCTTTTAATGGTTTTTCCAATCTTTGTAACTTAAATCGATTTTTGTGTCTGTCTCAAAGTTTTTTGGTCACCATAGTAGGGATTTCATATGTAATCAAGGGTGTAATCTTGCCAGGAGGCTGATTTCAAATGTATACCTCTTGTTTTACTAAGAACAGTAATTAATAGGTAAAGTAGACCACAAGTTCAGCAGTTTTTGGAGTGTATGTTACTCAAATTATCACTAATAAATTTTTCATATATCTACCACAAAAGCTGAAGAAGCCATTGTTAGCAAATAACAAAATGGTTGAAACTTCATTTAAACTAACCTAAAAACATAAAGGAAATTATGAAACAACAAAAGGAGAGGAAAAAATATAAAGTATTTTTCACTATCATTCATAGCAAACACTTCTACTGGGTATAGCAATAATGGATTCACTCGAAAATTCAAAAAAAGGTGGGATTGAGATGGGAAGTTAGTGTCCGAGTGGATCGAGGTCGCAATAGCTCAAGTGGTAGAGCAACGGCGTATCTAGCCGAAGGTAGTGGGTTCGAATCCCCCTCGTGACACTGACTTTTTTATTTCAACTAAAAAACCTGCACTAATTGAAAGGTAATAATGGATATTAAACCATCCTTGTAGGAAGACCTGCATTGGGAATGGACTCATGTGGTGAAAATTGGCCAGAGTCCAAAACATTTATCATAAGTAAATATTTAGGCCATGGAACACTTGGATTTTCTTTTCCACAATAACTAACTAGATAAATCTAAAAAAATGTGGAAAACAGTAATATAATATTAATTTTTCTCATTAAGCATTATTACACATAGACTAGAAGTACTTCATGAAAAATGAAATTAATTAAAAAATGTTGCTTTGCATTTTAGATGGCTAGTGAACCCATCGTTACGGCAGAAGAACTTCAATCCAGAGGCCTGAAGAACACTTTAAGTAAGTTTGTTTTAAACATTATTATAACCTTTTCGGGACTGATTTTAATTAAAATGCATTCCCCCTTATAAATTCTCTATGTGAGCCCTTCCAGCCCAAATTGTTTTGCACCATGCATCGCTTTAAATCACTCTTACAACTTTTGAGGTGCACTAATTCCATTCAAAATTTGATAGCACATTCCTTAATTATTATAGTTTTCACCAAAAGTGAATAAAATGGCAGGAGAAAACAATGTATTTACTTTTAAAAATATTTCACTTGCTAAACGAGCAACAGATGGGGATTTTATAGACATAAAATTGCCAAAATCTGACACCAAACATTCCCTGAGTAATGAATGGGTAAAAGCCTGGAGCATTTGGTACAACGGTGGTTCACCAGGGCCATTTGATCGATCATTGTTCCCAGAAATAAATATCGCTCCATGGTTTTCGATAGAGTACAGAAGCAAAAAAAATTTTTTCTGCCTCAACACTTTTAAGAACAAATCACAGCATTTGTGGATTTTACTTGCATCGAAACCAAATAGCTCCACATGTGATGAATGAAAACATGAAGTATATTGTCTTTTTTTGTCTTAATTACGAGACAGAAAGAGAGAACCTTTTAAAACAGATCTTCCAGCAGAGGGAAATGATTATGCCTTTTAGTTATGAAACCTTGTTAGCATCAGGCAATGGTGTTATATACTTATTTTTGAGTTCTTGCAAGATAGCGGAGTAGATATATAGATTGAGACTATTCAAACAATAATCGATGTCCAGGAAGCCTGGAGGAGTGGAGTGCTCAGGGTGCCTTTTGCCCTGGGTTATAGGGAGGATGTGGATTTTTTTACAGCGCTGTAAGTGGTTTTTATCTATATCCTCCCAATGCACCCGTAAGAGAGGGCGGAGTTCCCAAATGTAAAAAACATAAGTCTATGGGGGGGGGGCCGCTCTAGTCTCTTCCCGGGGGTGCCTTTGGTCGGCTTGCGTGGGTGGTGTCGCTGGCAACACAGAACACTGGCCATATGCATCAAAGCAAAGCCAAAAAAAAATTAATTATGTATATTGAAACATAACCAAAGACAAAATAAATATTGATTACTGATTGATTTAGCTGAACTCTGTACTGTATATATACGTAAACTTTTTTTGGGGAAAAAGATGGTTGTACTCATAGTGTTGTGAGAATACTGTGAGTACAACCATCCTTTACAAAAAGTGAATTCACCTACCTCAAATATTTCTATTCTTAAACTTAAGTACAGACTTGGAAAACAATAAATAAATAAGGGCAACAAAACAAAAATATCTATTGGAAAGTTATGGCGAACATAAACGAAGTAAAACTTAAACGCAACGCACTTGGCAGACAAGGGGCGAAAAATCAGAAAGGCGATAGAGTACATGGAAAGGAAGAGTAGAGGGTTGGGAAATGCAGGGGCAAGAGGTAGATGAAAGTATGACTTTCCCACTGACACGTAGATAATGTAGTCGAATGGTTTTACATTAAAATGATTGTATCACAATTTCACAAGTGTGAGAAAAGACAGATTGTGTTGTGAATTGAATGAGGATGAAAGAGTGGTTTGCTGATGATGGAGGGAAAGGAAGGGTATGGGAGGTGGTTATTTACTACCGATCTGCTACTCATTGGACACAATCTCAGCACGATATATGCCTTGAGTGTTCAGCTAGATCTCTTAAAATGCAAATAACACAAGAAAAAAAAAAACCACAAGCCTACAGAGCATATAAGCCTGAACGAAGCAGCTGGTCACTAGTCCTGAAAAGGTTAAGCACTTTTTAAAATAAAAATTTAATTTTTTTTCTTTTATAGTCTTTGCGAAGGAGGCCAAAGAAGTGGACAATTCGTGGAGTCAGAATTTTGACTGCTCATTATTTAGTAAGTTTTCATGAAGAAAATTTATTTTCTCACTAACAGCTTGGCATTTTCTGAATTTCTGAAAACGGACGAAAATACCAAGCTTGTCACCACCCTTCAGAAGAAATCTCACAATTATATCATTAACATTGCAGGCCCGGAGGATTCCATGTCTGACATGATTGACTCCGATGTTGAACGCGAGCTGTTGGAAGATTTCAATGAAACTTCTGAAGACCTGCTACCGCTTTACGGTGATGTGTTTCGAGACATCAGTTTTTGAAAAATTGTACAGCCAGCCGGCACAGAAATGATCTCAACTGTAAATTATATGATCTCAAATAACTATGATGGAATCCGAGGGGGTTTCCAATCTGTATATAGTGTTAATGTTATTTTTTGTATATTAAATTGCTTTTTTCTTTTTTTTATTAAAGAATTGTTTATACATTATTTTTTAAAGTAAACGAACATAAATTATAATGTTGATTTCTTTAAAATTTTTCCTTCTTTCCTTGATATCCACTTTTTGAAGAACTTTTACCCAATGAACTGTTTGTTTGGAAATGATATTTTTAGTAATGCTTAATTATGATGCTGCCATTGGCGTACACAAATTTTTATTTTTGTTAAAAATGTTCAAGCATTAAGTCCCTTTCCTCGATTAGCATTTTAAGATCAGGACGTTTCGATCCCCACCCAAGGATTCCAATAGTTGTGTTCACATACTCAGATACATGTCTTATGAGGCTGAACATTATCGGGCATATTATGAGGCTATGAAAAGCAAATCTTGTGTGAAAGCAGATCTTCAGATTTTCAAGGTCCCCCCTTTAAACTGGTACCAGCAACAAGAAATGCTGCACCACAATTTGATAGATCCTCTTACAAATGTCACCACTGTCACAGCACTGAGAGTATTTTTCACATTTTCTTCATTGGTGCGAAGGCCTATGCAGCCTGAAGATTCCTATTCTTGAGAAAGGAAAAGCAAGGCTTGAAGGATACACTTGAGAGACCTTAAAGCTTAGGGATCTGATAAAAAGCCTTTACGATAAGAAAGAAAAGTTATATTTTTAGAATAATGTCAGAGGATGAGTTGCAGTGAAAGACGATAAGTTCTTCAGGCTGTTAAAAGAAAAAACAGAAATTTAATTAAACAGGTGAATTGATGTGTTCAGATGACTGTTGTATTACAAAATTAAAACACAATTTAAAAATTATATAAAACAACAAACCTGTCAATGACTTTAAGTCTTTTTTTCAATTTTGTGCGCTTATCCTCTTTCACTGCAGATTTCTTTTTCTTCTCCTTCATTTTTTTTGCAAATAATGAAGTTTTCTTCACAGAATCCGATTTGTCTATATTCGAATCTCTTTTTTTCTTAGAAGGTGGCTTCTTCTGAGATGATTGTGACACTGGCGTACTTGGAGGAGCTGGAGGCACTGGTGTGGTGGGCAGAGATTCCTTTTTTTCTTTCTCTTTCTTTGGCTTGTCCTTTTCCTTCTCTTCTTTCTTCTTTTCCTTCTCTTCTTTACCCTTTTCCTTCACATTTTTCTCTTTCTTTTCCTTCTTTACTTCAGGAGGTGGAAGTGATGGAGTTTTTTCTTTTACTGGGGAGGGCGAAGGACTGTGTTCACGAATAGATTTTCGTTTCTTTGGCTTCTTTGGACCGGGACAGATCATTGGGGTGGATGGGGGTGGTGCAGGTTCCGGCTTGACAGGTAAACGTGCTGGAACAATTTCAGTATCCTCTCTAGAGCACTTACAAGCTTTAAATTCTTTCAGAGCACGAATTAAAGCCTTGGTGTCTAACTCATTGTCTTTACAACCACAAGCTTTAAACATACTTGGCGGTTTCTCAATCACTACTTTATTTTCTGCAATTTCCAGATCAGAAGTGTTAGTGTGAACATCATCAACGTCCCATGTAGTTTGTGAGGTAGAGCATTTCCTAGCAAGGGGAATTTTTTCTTTCTTTCCTGCGACCAAATGACTCGATTTACCTTTTGGTACACAGCAATTCAACTTGCAGGTCGAATGTTGTTGTTTTGGTGTCTTCGAACCAGATGAAAGTGCAGCAGCAGCACCACCAGCCTGGCATACATTACTGAACTTAGCATTTCCATTCGGTAAACTTACAAATGAAGGAAAAGGTTGCTGACAAGGAGGGATGCATCTAATCCTCTCTTGACATCTTTCTGGATTACCACTATTATTTATATCCCTGCTTTGACTTTTCTGGACCATTTCATATGCTGCTGGGCACGATTTAGATGAAGATGGCAGACTCTTTGCATTATCAGTGCATTCAGGTACTGGTTTTGACAGAACGGAAACACATTCATCTGAACTGTCTTTTTTGAATTGCGACATTGACGGGTGACACTTGGGTGGCAAAATTAATGTCGGTGGCTGCACATTAGTATATTCACCAAGAGGATTGAAGAACGAGTTACAGCAAGGGCATTGATAATACTCAAGTTTCATAGAACACATTCTAGGAGCGTTACGAGAAGCGTTGCAATGAAAATAATTTTGACATGTGTTTTTTGGTGGACACGCACAAGGAAATGAACGAGTCGACCTAGGTCCTAAGCCAAGATTTTCTCCAAACACTGGATATATGTAGTATGAATACGGGGGCATTCCTGGTGTATACGGAGGAAAAGGGTAGTACATCATCCTCCAAGGATCCGGCGGAGGGCTGAAAAAATCGGTATCTCTATCCGGCTGGGATGTGCTGCACTGATAACACGGCCTGAGATCTATCCCATCGGCAGGATTTATTAAAATCGGCATGCTCTTTTGCTTGCAATGCAAAACACTGTTAAAACTCATTTCTGACAATCACACAAAAATAAAACGAAAATTTCAAAGATTGTGTAAAAACTATTACATATGGAAGGCCTAAAAAACATTACTGAGTTATTATAAATTAAAAAATTAATACACCTGTTCCATTTGTTGAAAGGCAAAGCTGTGTTCTATGGACGTTTTGACAAAATTAAAAAACAAAAAAATTCAACCTAATTTAAAATTTGAAAAATGTAATTAAAAAGGTACAGCCGAACTTTTCCAAATGGATAATAATAATTAGGCATCCCTGATCATTATACAATTTTATTTTCCCTGGCATTACTCCATTTACTTTACTAAGATGATACGAGGATTTTAAAACTAAGAGATTTGTTTTTTCCCCAAGCACCGCTTGCTTCAACCTTTTCAAAGTTCTGAGTGTAGTATTTAGTGATCATTAAATAATGATTATTTAACAGACATATAAACCCTACTCAGACGAACTGACAGACAGTTCCTCACTGAAGATGGCACAATGCCGAAATGCGTTTGAGTGGAGACAGCCCCAGTAACCCTGTGCCGGTTCAACATGAGTTCACCAATTCGCAGATCAATACCCATCAACAACTCAAAATTGCATTAGTTCTAAACCTAACTAATAATACACACCACAGGCAAACGTAGTACTCAGAATAGTAATTAAAAAAAATAATAAAAAAAATTCAGCCTTCTAAATTTCTCAATAAGACCTTATTTTATTTTGTTTCTGATAAATCTATTTTTATTAAACTAGGGTATTTAGTGACCATTAATGATTATTTGTAGAGTGTGATATGCGCTCTGGTGTGACGTAGGTTTTCTTTATCGAACCAACATTTCGATCTTTATTGAGTTTAACTTAGCCTGGGATTTATAAACATTGTTTAACTTATACAATTACATATAAGATAATGAGATATCATTATGAATTTGTACAATGATGTAAATGATATAGAAATTTTAGGTTTAATCAAAGTATTTGTACTCTCTCAAAGTGCGTTTTCTGTGTAAATCTGTCACTGTTGTGTGTCCTGTTGAGAGTATTAGTGAAATTTTAATGTTTTTTTGTTTAAATATGTTTGATTTTGATGGAGTGGGAAAGGAAGTAGGAATAGAAATTCATTTTTCTTCTTTGAGGTTATGGTTTGTCATTCAGGCCTGGTTAGCCTTTCAGAATTTTTATAAACTGTTCTTTAATTCAGTTCAATTGATTTGTTCCTTCTTTTAAGAAGTAGACAGTCACTGACTTTCATAGTTACAATTATTTTTCCTGGGTCATCTTGTTACTCTAGATTGTCTCTTTTGAGCAGTTGCTTTGCATTCTGTTGTAAGTGTTTTCTGTGTAAATGTGTCACTGTTGTGTGTCATGTGGGGAGTATTAGTGAGATTTTAATGTTTTTTTTTTTTAATTTAAATATGTTTGATTATGATGGAGAGGGAAAGGAAGTAGGAATAGAAATTATTTTTCTTTGAGGAATCGGGTTCTTTGAGGTTAGCTTGTCATTCAGGCCTGGTTAGCCTTTCAGGAAGTATTTGACTTTCATAGTTACAATTATTTTTCCCGGGTCATCATCTTACCCTAGATTGTCTCTTTTGAGCAGTTGCTTTGCATTCTGTTGCAAGTGTGTTTTCTGTGTAAATCTGTCACTGTTGTGTGTCGTGTTGAGAATATTAGTGAGATTTTAATGTTTTTTTGTTTAAATATGTTTGATTTTGATGGAGTGGGAAAGGAAGTAGGAATAGAAATTCCTATTCTATAACTCCATTGAGTTTTACTCTGTCTAACTGTAGCAATGTGCATGCCGGTTTTGATTATGGTCCTTTAATCATTAGCTTGTTGTCTGGCACCTCTGGAATTCATCCATTTCTTCTTTTGTGTCAGAGGACCCATTCTGAGATGGAGGTGTATATTGGTATCCCAATTATATGGATATGGATCTATGGTCTTGCAAATCCTAGTAGTCTGAGTAACTTCGTACCTGGGACCTAAGATGCGCTGTTAAGATTTCCCTTTTTTTTAGATTTTGGATGCATTTACCGTTTTCGACGTGACCTTAGTATATAGAAATGAAAAATGGTGGAATGAGTGTGTTGTTCAATATTTTTAAAAAGATAGTTCCTACTTGGTTAGTTGTTTTCAATGATCCGGATTTCGTGCTTGTAGCTCATCATCAGGTCGTATTACTTCTTCAACCTGAAGATGAGCTATAAGGTATCCGGTCGTTGAAAACAACTAACTCTAACAACTAAGTAGGAACTATCTTTTTAAAGAGATTGACCTTTGTACATCCTAATGCTTCTAGGGCTGATTGTCTGATATGAGGATTTTTTTTTTTAAGTGTAACCTTTTATGCACACGCTTTTCCTGTTCAATTCCTGAGTGCTGTACACTTAATGGAAGTTTGAGTGTATATTAATTTTATTCTTTTAACACTGTGATCTGAATGATGGGGTAAAGTCTTTCTGTTAAATTACATTATATGATAAACAACTTGGCACAGTTTATTACAAAAAAGATTGAAAACAGTATTTTACAAAACTACATTGAAGATATACTTACATAAAAACTTTTTACAGTTTAACACTTTTGGTCATAAAGCTCAAACTCTCTTTGCTAAAGTCAAGCGGCATCATTCCAAGATCACCACTAAACCTATTCTTTGAGATCTGTAAAAATAAAAATAAAAACATGATTGATTTGAAATTTGCGTAAAAAAAATTTATACCGACCTGAAGAAACTTTTTTGTCTTTAAGACATTCATATTTGTCTGGTTTTGAATAATTAGAACGTTGTCTGCCTCTTGGCTCGCTTTGGCACCACCAAAAATTGACATCGCTGTCAATGGTTCTCCTTCTTTCTCCTTCCTCGGATGAATGACAAGCGTCACATGACAATTGTGCATTGTTGCAAAATTGCGGAAACTTCCAATCAATACATCTTGGCGGTAAAACCTTTGAAAAATTTGGTCTTATAATCATTTCAGTCTAAAGAGCAATTATTGTATTTATGCCATGTGCAAGGTACTGTCAAATAAAGTAAATAGTGCAGAAATTTAAATAATTTATCTGTTGAATTTAAAAAAAAAAATTGAATTATATGAGATATTTCGAAGAAAGAAGGATTGAAGGATTTGGCAAAACCAAAAAAGTAAAAATCCTTCATTAAAAAAAAAAAAAAAAAAAAAAAAAAAAAAATTATATATATATACCATCATATGGTAGAATTTATCATAGCTGTATGATAAAACTTTAGACCAAGAATTAGCAATAGTATTAGTTATTTATGATTAAATTATTTATTTATTCATGCGTTATTTAATTATTTTATTTACTGTGTGATTTTACTTAATTAAATTGAATGTTGGAGATCTGAATGTGTGTCTATTTAATTGGCAAATGTGATGTGAAATAATCCTATGGCTAACATAGAAACTCAATTAAAAAAAAAAAGAAAATCAATAGTATCAATGATATAAAGGATGGGACCAAGTCAGTCTAACTTTCGACAACTCGCTGCTACTCATCTGAAGCAAGCAGGTAGGTAGTAGCAAGATAGGATTTCAGGATAAGGTAATAAGCAACTCCCAAGCAATACTCTATTCTCTAGAGCAGAGGAGATGGGGTCAACAACTCTGAAGCCTTGTCGTATCGTGGAATGATGAGGTAGGAAGCCAAATTGGCGAGAAGGAATTTTATAAGTATCTTGGATGGATATCAAGTGCTTTAAAAGGAGTCTTTCAAAGATTTGGACACCGAAGGAAGAATGCTGATAGATCTGAAGGCCTATGGCACAGCGATTTTGGCAAAAGCGTTTACTGAGAGGAAATCCAAGTCAGTGTGTCTTTTCTCTCATGAGAGTGGGACATGACAGTCGATGCATACCAAGTGGTTTTGAAAGTGTATTTCCTGGAATGGTTTGTAGTACTTTATCAGCCACACATTTTGTGTCCAACTACACGTAGTTTTCAATTTTCATTTTCTTTTGCTTTTTTTCCTCTATTTTCTACATGAACCACTATTGTATTACATGTAATATAGATACATTATTAACTTTCACATCATATTATCTTATTTATAAAACTAATTTTAAAATGAATTATACTAAATATTGCTCATTTCCCATAAGCTACAAGTTTTAGCAAATTGTTTAATCACTGTTATATTGTTTTCATAGAGGAGGTTTATATGAGTAGACACACCAAATCCATTCAGCAGGAGGTGCTGTATCAGATTTGCTCTTTTGCATTCAGCACAGGGCGGTGAATTAAGAGATTATCCACATCCTGTACCTGATTGCCGCAAATGCACACTGGTGATGTTTACATTCCAATTCTTTGCTGATATTTCTTGTTGGGCCCATGTGCGTTGAGGGTTTCTGTCAGCCTTGCTGTTGTATTGAGAGTCAATCTGATTAGGGATAGTTACTTTGCTCTATGAGGAATGGTGGGGGAGTCGCATTTCGAGCGAGAAATGGAAAGGACGAAAGAAGTGGCCTGTGAGAGTCTGCGCAAACCAGAAAACAAGAAGTGTGTAATTTATTTTTTTTATATCGTATGTACGATTTACACTTTTTCAAAAAATTATGAGCTCATAGTTTTGGCCATAGGAGAATTAGTTTATATTTTTATTATTTTATTTTGTATATAAACAAAGATTGAATTTTTTTAAATAATTAAATATACTGGACTATATAAGTAGGGAAGTATTTGTTTATTTTTTTAATTATAGGAAAGTATTTGTTTATTTGTTTTAATACTAGAAAGAATTGTTTAATAAATAGGTTTATAGTGGAATTTATTTTATTTAATTTACCCTAACACTACAAGGAGAAGAACTCGTTTTTTCATCCACTAATAAACAATAATAGAATATAGTGCACTATAATATTTTCCAATATAGGAAAATGACACGAATGAGACTGATCGGCTCCTTTATATATTGTCTCAACCAACATGATACCACAGTGTCTGTCAGCTACAAAAAAACCTGCCATGTTAAAGACATTGGTCAGAACTGCTGTGTGTCATAGCCGTAAGAGGATATACAGTTGGGTGGTTTGTGAGCTTTAAGAATGAAAATAACAGTTCAATTTAATGAAATGTTTTACTATTAGATAGGTAAATAATACTTAATAAATGACAATTAATTAAGGTTTTTAGTTGAGATGAAAAAAGTTAATGGCACGAGAGGGATTCGAACCCACGACCTTCGGCTAGATACGCCGCTGCTCTTCCACTTGAGCTATCGTGACCTCGATCCACTCGGACATCAACTTCCCATCTCAACCCCACCTTATGAGTTTTCCCTCATTTTGCCATTTTTCAAAACTCGAGCTACATTAGCCCGCAGGAGGAAGTGTTTTGGGATGTACAATGTGATCGTAGAAGAGCTTCAACCACTGAAACCGGGCCTATTAATCAAGTTTCTTGATGAAATAGGACTCACCGATGTGCTTTAGGCAGAGCACGGGGGATACAATAGCTCTCAAAGGGCGCAGTATACTATACCCTGAAATTACAATCTACCTACAGAGAAGCATCTTGCATGGAAACAAATAAAATATTTAATTTATATAATAGTATAAGGAATAGGCAATTATTTTAATCGAACCAGATCAAATTAGGCAAGACTTGGACCTGATTGGACAATCGTTTTTCAATAATTGGAAGTATGTAGCTAAATTAATAATAAAACCCTAATATACAATGAAAAAGTCTCTAATTATGCATATGTTTGTCAGTAAAAATGAAAAATCTCTTACCTATCTAAATAGCCTGATTCACTTGAAGACAGCCCAAGCATGAACTGAACATTGTCGATTATCACATGTGCGACATCATGAACGTAAGAAGCATGTTTTACAGTCTGAAAAAGACATTTAAAACTGTAATATGTAAAGTGTACATGGCGTCCGGAAAAATATTTAATCCAGGCACGACTATAAAATAAAGACATTGTTTTAATCAAAGCATTAAACTAACGTTTATTGAATAAAAGAAAATGAACAAAACATAAACAGAAAAAAGTAAAGAATTAGTGAGCATACAACTCTGGCCAGATTCTACACTAAATAATTTACAGATTTTCAAAGTCAATAAATTCCGGGTTCACTGCTGCCACTGACACACAATAAAAAAAATCTTGATGATCACGAGCATATTTTAGAGCCATTAAGCAAAATTACATTGATACTTTTCAACCTTTTGAGGTTTGCATAATTGAAGCAGTCCATGAACATCATTGGCTCAAGGCTCTCTCTCAACAATCAGTTCTCCTAGACACTGCGGTTTGGAATCTTGAACAACTTGCTTCTGTTTTTGGTTTCATTTGTAAACCATGGTGCGTTTTTCTATTTTGGTTTATATTTTAAAGTTTATGTTTCCTTTTTGTTTTGCTACCAAAGCGTGTTGGAAAAATCTACTCTAATTTGTTTCTACTTTAAATTTTTTCCTCCCATTCAGTTTTCTTTTTGGCCGTAGTTGATTTGAGTCTTTGCTCTTTTAGCCAAACTTTCTAGTGGTGTCCTCATGTTTAAATTGATTTCTAGGGAACACTGAAAAATTCCCGTTACAAGAAGTGACTCACTGAACAATATTGCTCGTTTACTTCTGTTTTTTTTTTTTGTTTTTTTTTTTTCATTCTCGATAATAAAAAGAGGTCAGTTTCTTACCCTAAGAATATCTTTGAATAACTTAAAGACAGATATAAATCTAACAAATTAAAATCCTGCCTAGATGTAATTTTTATACTGTACAAATTGACGTACCTCCATGACTGTCTCGAGTGCTTGCTGCCCGTGGAAAGTCATGAAATATATTGGCAGCTGTTCAAAACAATCAGCCCATTCGTCGAATGAGTCCACATTGTCCTCCAAAGGAGCCATGGCCATTTGTGTCAGCATGGTTTTAGCCAACCTTTGATTTCTGATCTCGAAACTACCCCAAAGTGTTGTAACCTGTTTAAAAACAATCTGGTTAACATATATATTTATAAAGAAACTCTAGTATAAATGCCTTTTGCATGGCAAGATCGAGTGAATATTCACTCATAAACGTTGTCTTGCCTGATCCAGTCGGGCCTGTGAGAATCGTCAGCTCTCCTCTCCTGTGCCCTTTCAGAATTTTATTTAATAAAGGAAACCTCTCCCATTTTACTCCTGACGCCTTTTAGAATTTAAAAAAACAAAAAATTATAAAATTTAACATACCGCTTTAAAAACTAAAAGTAATAAATTCACTTTATCAGCATTATACAGTTCAGAGAATACGTCTTCTCGTAGACTTGAAAAGGTCGTAATACTCGAATGGGCAATTTTTTGAGCAGTATTGATAATTTTCTGAATATCCTTATGTTTCTCTATGGCCTCTATTACAGTTTTTTGGTCATCTATAGGTCTGAAAATTATCAATTTTTATAACTTAGATAAATTATCACTTTATAATAAAACGGACCTAACTAAATGACATCTTTGTTCAGACAGCTTCTTCGCCAGCTGTCTGGCATTATCCCAGGAAGTATCATTTCCAAACCAAAGAATAAGTTTTTTATAATTTTCAAAAAGAGGCAGAACAGACTGAGGAAGGCTGTACTGACCTGAAAATTCAGTTCTAGAACCAGCGAAGAACATAATGTAGCTACTACAAGATTTAAAAAAAATTACCATGAGGTAGACAAATAATATCGTGATTCGAAATTCCAACATGACAAAGACCCAGAAAATCCCTCACACTATGTACCACAACCGCACTCGTGCACAAATTCTTTTTCTTGTGTAAAATCCCACTTGCGTCACTCGACGGGTACGACTCCTCTTTGAAATTTTTATGGAGTGTTTTGTAGCCAGTGATCTGACCGCCTCCGTTGCAAAGAGGGAAATATAAAGTTCCAGTTTTTATATCAATGTGCACTTCGAATTCTTTCAGAACTTCGTAAGACAGATTCTGCGTTTTAAATAAAACAAGGTTAATTTAAGTGCTGGTCATTTTTTCTTGTATTAAATTATCTTCATGCAGTACAAATTTCTAAAGTATAGTGATTTTTCTATAATACTTTATTTAATTAAATTTAATGATAATTACATACTGAAAATTTATATGCTTAAGAGTACAAACCGGCAATCCAATGTGTCTTAGAACATCCTCGAGTCTATTTTCTGACAGCTCACTTACATGATGAAGATGTTTTTGAATCTTCAACCATTTCGTCAAACCAGCTGCCGATTTATTATCGATCTTAAAACAACATAATACAATATTATTATTTTAAACTATACGATTTAACATTAAAAACCTTACATGTTGGACAAAAGTTTCAGTTTTATCACGAACAACAGCCTCCAGGTCAACCCAATTTCCACACTTATTACACCCATGGCAGATGAAAAATCCTAATAGTACAAGATATTATAAATAATGTGGGATGGATAGTTGGTTTAGGAGATGGTTAAAAGAATGAATGGATGGTCAGATAGATAGATAAAGAAATGAATGGTAGAAGGAATGAATGTTGGAAGATAAGCTGCCTGAAAGGAATAAAAGATGGACGGTATAATCAGTGACTGGAAATATGAAAGGGTTAAAAGAGGATGGAATAACAAATTGGTGTATCGATAGAAAGCAGGCTAGATGGATGGAAAAAAGAAATCATGGTTAGAATAATGGAAAAGGAAATCATGGATGGTTAGAATAATGGAAAATGAAATCATGGATGGTTAGAATAATGGAAAAGGAAATCATGGAAGGTTAGAATAATGGAAAATGCAATCATGGATGGTTAGAATAATGTAAAATGAAAACATGGACGGTTAGAATAATGTAAAATGAAAACATGGATGNGAGAGTATGGGAAATTATTTTGATTAAAGAACATTGCTTTAAAGTAACTAGTTTCTTTTTTTTTGTTTAATACCAAAATCCTGCATTATTTTCCGGACAACCCAATAGGTGAATTTCTACAAATGAAAACATGGATGGTTAGAATAATGTAAAATGAAAACTTGGATGGTTAGAATAATGTAAAATGAAAACATGGATGGTTAGAATAATGTAAAATGAAAACATAGATGATTAGAATAATGTAAAATGAAAACATGGATTGTTAGAATAATGTAGGTGAATTCCTAAAAATGAATAACTAGAAGCAAAAGATTATAGGATAATAGATAGAAGACTGGATAAACAGAGGATTGGAAGAAGGTGGAATGGTCATAAGAATGAATAATGTGTTGTATGAATGAATACCGGTGCATGGAATGATGGTCATACCTGTCTGGCATCACATGGAGAGCAATTAGGACAATGGAAGTGAGCCTGCTAGTCCGCACCTCTCTGTACCAACACACCGCGCCGTGTCTGACTTGGTTGGTTTAGTTTTTGACGGTCACGGATAGTGTGAGGTAGTGCAGGTTTAAATTTTTTTAAAAATATTTCTTTTACCTATTTATTCTCGAGCTTTTTATATATATTTTATAATTTTATTTTGTAAAATGGATGCAAAGAAAGTAATTGAGGAGATCAGAAAAGAAAGTTTCCTGCGTTGTATGACCAGTCCAATGAAAGACAAAAAAATACGGAATGTAAAGAGAGAATAATTTAATTAAATAATAATTAAATAAATTAATTCTCTTTCAACACATCTTTTATTCATGCGTTGTGAACCCACATTCTTCTCCTTCTGCTAATTTCTTCGTCAATTAACATCTTCTTGAAAAGGATCCCTAACTCACTATTTATAAAACTTCTTAACATTTTTTCTCAACTAAATGATGTAAGCTTCGAACGATGTAGCTTTGAAGATACTAAACTACTGAGTGTTGTCCAACATGATGTGCAAGTCAGCCGACATCACACGGGGTGGATCTGGTGTGGTCATGTGGGGTCCAGGCTTAAACAGAGTATTAAAGCTGAGGCCCACAACATCCCACCACTATATCGGACCGGTTTGTAGTCCTACCACTCCTCTGAGTTTAGCTCTCTCGAATTGCAGCAGTTTTGGTGAGGTTGTTTCATCAATTTTAATCAAATCACTGTGTGTTTTGTTTGGATATATTCTGCGATAAGTAGTAGGTAGGAAACGTTTAGGTTTATAAAGCATGCCTGGGAGCCAGACCCTATTAAATTGCTTGTTTAATTTAAAATTGTAAACCTCCCAACCACATATCCTCCTACAGACCCATCTGTACCACTGCCACTGCTCCTTCTATGCTACATCCAAGCAATACTCTTTGTTCTCAAGAGCAGAGTTGTATAGTGTGCACTTGACAAGGACAAGGAGATGGTTGTTACTTTTTATGGATATAGAGGGAGGTTTCAACAATGCAACATCAGTCTCTCTATGTAGAGATATTAAAAAAGGGGAGTTTTGGAGAAGATATGCCAATGGGTGGAAGAATGCCTAAGGAACAGGATAATTACATCCACCACGGGAAAAGTGACCATCCGGGATAAGACAGCCAGGGGATGCCCGCAAGGAGGTGTTCTCTCACCTCTACTGTGGGCGACACTGGTAGATGAACTCCTACAAACGTTGGAATAAGAAGGATTCTACTGCCTAGGCTATGCGGATGACCTTGTCGTAGTAGTAAAAGGCCATCATGCAAACACCGTGATAGATTGTATACAATGAGCCCTCAATCTTGTTGATAGGTGGTGCAAAAGGGAGGAGCTATCTATCAACCTCCACAGAACCATAATGATTCCATTCACAGGGAAGAAGACAATAGGTAGCTTAAAACTTCTAAGTCTAAACAGGACTCTGATCCCATTTTCCAAGGAGGCCAAATATCTACAGATTACACTAGACCAGCGGCTCACGTGAATTCACATCTGATTAAAACCACCCGGAGAGCCAAAATTGCCTGGTGCTGAAGGCTCTGCGCCAAGAACTGGGGCCTAACCCTAAAATGACCCTATGGCTATACACATGTGTCTTAAGACCAATGTTGACATATGGGTCGGTGGTGTGGTAGACCAAAACTCTTCAGGCCAAAGCAATGAGGCTATTAAGTGGCACCCGAAGATAAGCCTCTCTCAGTGTCATCGGTGCCATGAGCACAACGCCAACTGTGGCCTTGGAAGTGTTGCTAAACCTCCCACCACATCATATTATAATCCAACGAGAAGCCAGAGAAGTAGCTCACAGGGTCATAAATGGGCAACCATCTGCATGGATAGACCATATAAATAGACAATGGAAACTGAAGAAGGAGATAAAGGCAGATGCCATTCTAGGCAAGCCAATTGATGCCGCTACTCCAAAGTACAATTTTACTAAAAAGTACAAAGTACTGATACAGAACGGGCCAAAGGAACATCACTAAAGGCAAACTCCTACTTTTATACTGACGGCTCCAAAGCTGACAAGGGTACTGACATCATAACGATTGAACAATGCACCAGAGAAATAAAAAGGTTAGAAATACATTCCTGGAAGAAAGAGATTTTCTCTGACAGCCAGGCAGCACTTAGGACCCTAGCTTCATGCGAGTCGAAGGCAAAAAGTGGAACTCAGTGACACTAATGACCTGACCTTGGCATGAGTCCCTGAACATTCGGGCAATAGAGGCAACGAAAAGGTTGATGTGTTGGCAAAAAAGGGAGCCAACGTGGACTCTCTGGGCCTTGAACTCTACCACGGCCTAGCAGCCTGCCAAAAAAAAGGATACATCTTAAAATGGATCCTTAATGAGTCCAAAACCTGGTGGAACAATATCATGTATGAGGCACACGAAGAGATTCATAGACCATCAGCAAAACTCACAAAAGAACTACTGGAAGGCAACCGCAACTGGACCAGGATTCTGGTTGGACTCCTGACGGGGCACTGCCACTTAAGAAAGCACATGCACCAAATAGGAGTACAGACAGAATAAACACTGTGCAGATACTGCCAGGAAGAGGAGGAAACATTTTATGTTTCTGTTAATGTCTAGGAAGGTGCAGGGTCTTGCAACTAGGACAAGAAAAACCACAAGCAAGATACCACACCAAAGAACCGCTGGCAAAGCTGTGGAGGCTGGTTAATAACCTGAAGCCAGTGAGTTATAAATAACAGGGGAGCACAATAGATCTATTCAGGTCGAGGTGCAGTAGACCTCGTGGCCGTCTGTTTTATCCCGATCCTTATCCTTAGTGTTGATAATTCTGAAACCTTGTTCGTAGAATGATATGGGTGGAAGTAGAATTGAAGTGAGAGGGAATTATTTTATGAGTATTTAGGATAGGGATTAATCGCTTTAAAAAGAGTTTTTTGAGGATTGTGGACATTGCAGGAAGAAGGCTGATGGGTCTGTAGGAGGATATGTGGTCGAGAGGTTTATGATGTTAAATTAAACCAGCCAGTTTAAATTTATGGGGAATCACATGACAAGACAGTTTTAGAAAAGTTCATCAATCGTTTTGAGTCATCGAAGGTGAGTACCTGTGATCTTGTTGATGTACAGCTTTGAAGATTTGCCGGCGCAGAGGAAGCAGTCGAGGCTGAGGCAGGTGAAGCCGTCGTCGAACGTCAGACGGTTTTTAATCAGACTCTGCTTCACCTGGCTCACCGACACGAATTCCGGGTTCGTCGGCAGACGCTTCTCAACCGGGAACCCGGCCGAGGCGAGGCCCGATTCCAGCCTCCCGGCCTTCCTCCCAAACAGCTTCAGACGATTTAGACTTTTTAACATTTTTCCTAAAAAAAAATTTTAACATTTGCCGGGAGAGGATGTAAACAACCTAACAAGAGGGCGATATGGGTTATCAGATGTATCGATTTCCATCAAACTATTAAACAAAACGAATAGTTTTATATATCTGTCTAAAAGCATGTCGTACGCTTTATAATAGAGTAAATGGATTGTTTATTTTATTCGATTTCCAGCCAAAATGGGCAAATTGTTAAGAAAATCGATTGTTACTCGATACATCGTTTACTACTTACTAGTTTAGATGTTTTATGAAGGTTACTTGGTGCAAGTGTTATTGCGTGGTTGTCAAACCTATTCTTCCACATGGTTTGTTCATTTTTCCATAATTTTAACGCATAGTTTTTAATTAAATATTTTTTATTTGTTAAACGTTATTATCCGAGATATGTCGGTCACACGGGTCGATTGTGACAATTTGGAGAAAAACCCGGAGTGTCCGCACGGGCCGACACTCCTCTTTACCAGGATCGTCAAAGGGAGGCCGCAAAGGTTCTTCGCCTGTTCCGCGTGCAGGGACCGGAAAGATTGCCCTTTTTTCCTCCTCGAGGGCGAAAAGGTCACGGAATCAAAATTGCTATCCTGGAAAGTTCTTAGGGATGAGCTGAACCCAGATGTAAGTCCTGAACTTCTGAGGACGGCCTATGAAGAGGCCAAGTCGCAGGAAGCAGCTGAGAGGACGTTCTGTTACGATTGCGGCAGGTTCGTCGTAAGCGAACTGTCCGATCATGCAACTCACGAGATGAAGAAAAAAGTCTCGGATGAGGCGATGTTGATACCATCGAAGATACTCGATCCGAAGCAGAACGACAAGAAAGAGGCGCAGTTCTGGTTTGACAAGTCCACAAAAGACTTCATAGTCCGTTCCATCAAAAAGTTAAACATAGACAATGTCCTCTGCATCGGATGCCCGACGCTACATGAGATCCTTCATTGCGACATGCCCTCATTGCTCCTCGATTTAGACTACAGATATTATTCGTTTTACGGAGAAGATGAATTTCTCTGGTTTAACATGTTTAACTTTCATTTCATGCGTAAACCCGAGGAGAGCAAAGAAGCTCTTAGAAAACATCTATCCAAGGATGTTTGCGTAGTTATAGACCCGCCGTTTGGCGCACGTCTCGAGCCAATATCGTATTTGTTAAAAAAGCTAAAAGAAATGTGTGCCTTGCAGTTACAAGTCTTCCTCGTCCTGCCTTATTTCATGGAACCCCAGGTGGTCAGACACCTGAAAGGATTCGAGATGCTTGACTTTGTCGTCGATTACTCAAACCACACCAAGTTCAGGTCAAAAGGCAAGCCCGGTCCTGTACGACTGTTCACAGACGCGGACCCGGAAGTTTTCGAGATGCCCAGAGAATCGGGATACTGGTTTTGCGCCGAGTGCAGGAGGTGGAGGGCGCAGGGAAACAGGCACTGCAATAACTGCATGACGTGCACTTCGAAAAACGGCGAAAGCTACCTTCACTGCCCCCTCTGCGATAAATGTGTGAAAAAGACCTGGGCACACTGCGTCCTCTGTGGGATCTGCTCTTATCCGGAAGGTCACACCTGCCAGAAACAGGGCAACAAAGAGAGGAAAATAGAAAAACACAATAAAAAGAAGAAACGTTGAGTCGCTGAAAGAAATATGTAAATTGTACATATCATTCTTCTCAATAAACCTACAATTTTATTAATTTCTATATTTTAATATCCTTTTTGTTGTTTTTGAAAAACACAAAGACAGCTAAGGCCAAGAAATCCCAACATCCAGCCCTGATCTCTAAAGCTGAAAATGCTAGTATATATAGATATAATCTAAAAGAGCGTCAGAGGGTCTGATCTGAATATAGGATTTGAACCAAAGAAGAAAGATGATCCTCACCCCATTAAAATACGCTGAGGTTATACGGACACTACATTTTGGGCCAAAACCCCTTGTATGTGTCCAGCATGTAGATAAAGGTTTTTGATGTGTACTTAATTCAAGGATCCTTCGCTCCATATTTTTGTATTGTACATAATACTGATAAACATCTCATTTTGTTTGCTCTTTAATATATATCGAATGAATGTATTTATGAGCGTGAATGTATATTGTGAGGTGGCGGAATATTGAGAAGGCCATCAACCCTCAATTGGAGTGACTAGTGTAGGGGCTGAAATAATCAAGGTCTGCTTTTTTTTTTTTAAATTATGGTGCTACTCGTTTGTGGTCTACAATGATCCAGAATTCAAGCATTAAACTCTCATCAACCATCAACCATCCCTAATCATCAGGCTGAAGGGGCTACACTTGAAATGAATTGTAAGTGTGAACCACCAGCAAACTTTTCAAACTGAATTGCAACGAGGGCAATATTAAATAAACAGAACAAAACAGCAGAAAAAGTAAATAATGCTCAAAATCTGGATCGTTTGAACTTACAAATCTATGAGTAGAATCATCATTTACAAAAAGTGAATCTACATAATCACCCCACCTTCATCATTTTTTAACCAATCTCTGATCCGTGGACTGCCAAAACCCAAAGTAGGTGATTTGCATGGCAAGCTTATGAAGATATGTATACCGAATGGAGCTTATATAAATCAACCAATCAACAAGCACATCAGATAAAAAAATATGGTATGTTATATTGTGTGATAATTTGAAGATAGATCTGTTGTAATAAAGCAAATAGATTGCTTGTCAGCTTCTTGGTTTATGCTTTTAATAATAAAACTATATCAGATCTCTCCTTCACATCTGATGTGGTCATTGGTGATGTTTGATCTACCTAGTCTCACAGTTTGGATAAGAGGCTTTTCAGCTTCTTGCCATCTTCAGTGGTGGAACTGTGTAATCCCTTCTTTTTTTCTAAAAAAAAACAGTCCTTTCACTTTTCATGAAAAACATAAAATGGACTTGGTCATTGGACTAAAACTAATTGAAAAATCTCACTAAATCACTACAGAAAATAGCGTTAATTCAAAGGAAAACCAAAATAGGAATGATAGGCAGTACAAAAATAAATTATAAATGAAGCTAAAGTGCCTGATTTTTTCTGTCGGTTGATTAGGTGGCAATTGTAATTTATCAACTTTATATTTGATAATGATAAGACGTTAAATGTGATCAAAACCATATCATTTTTATGGTATAAGCATGGGATTTTAATTTCTACTGGCCTAATTCAAAATCGTACAAGATTATGCTTAATATAAAAAAAATAACAGAAAACATAAAATGCCCAAAGAAATCAAAAAAGCTAAGCAGCACACAACTTACTGGCATGAAGTGCTTTTTTTCAGTGTATGGCAAAGAGGTCTCGAAATTCTTAGTCCCATCCTTTATATTATTTATAGTGGTGACCTATCCACAATGTAGTACCATCATCACCACATAGACAACTCCTATTTTTTTCTCTTACTTGAGTCCTATCCAAGCTACCGCAACATCCAAGGACACCTTGAGCTTATTGAAGACAACTGCAAAAACTGGAATGCAAGACTAAATGAAGAAAAATGTACTCAGTGTTCACATTGAAATTCTCGGCCTCCACTTTACCTCAACAAAAAGATACCGACTTCCATTCAAGTCAAATACTTAGGTCTAAACCTAGACAGCAGACTGACATGGAATACCCACACAATACTTAAGAGACAACTTAACCGAAGAGTTGGACAACTATGAAGATTTCTAGGATTAGAATCCATCTTGGCCATCATCACTAAACCTAATACAAGACTTTACTGCATTCTGCCAAGCCATCCAACATCTAGCACATCCAATTCTACTTAATAGTCTTCAGACAAATCCTTAAAGCTCCTTACTATGTCACTACCATCCATAATGACCTCAACATTCCTTTTGTCAAGAAACATCCATTCCCAATAACAAAAGTTTCACATTAATCTCTCTATATCCATCCTAAGTTTCTGCTTGATCCCTTTATACACATAACCATCCCAAGAACTCCCATGTCTCCTTAATTGACAATAGCGTCGAAAACTTGCACCCTAATCTCTCGCACTGAGTACCATCATACCTAATTCCTCATGGCATATGTCCTCCGGCTGCAACGTTGCATTAGCGTTAGTGTTTTGACCGTGTGAAAAAACGTTTTGTGATCATATTTGTAATATGTACTAATATGTAAAGGGTGCAAATAAAGTATAAATAAATAAATATTTCAGTGTTAAAGTGTTAAGTTTATGAGGAACAGTAAGAAAATAAAATTATCACATATGCTAAAGACATGAAACAATTAATAAAATTATAAAAACAATTTACTATGTTTATAATTCTAATAACAGATTTACCACATCCAAATAAAAATAAAAACAATACAATAATGATTTTGGAAGTTATTAAAATATCTTTTACAGACAATAATTTGCTAACAACACCCAACGGTTTATACTAAAGGCTAATTAAGTACACACATAACAAAAATTTGTGTAATTTAATCAATTAATTTTGATCTGCCTGGACAGACTAAAAAGATTGGTAATGATCCAGTTATAAAGTACACATCCCCATCGAGATAACAAAAATAAATGTAGATTGGATCCAGACAAAACAAAGAAGTGGTTAAACTCTAGCGGTACTAGACATAGTAAACTTACGATGGAACAACCCTCACCAAGACTGGCAAAATCACTGCTGCAACTGGAGAGGGCTAAACTCAGAGGAGTGTAGGACTACAACCGTCATCTGAGAAAACATCTACACAATGGGCAACAAAATATGATCCCATCTGCAGATTATGTAATGAGGAGGAAACAGCCACCCATTTCATCTTCGAATGCGAAGCAACAGCACAATGGAGATTCATCCTAACATACATAAAAAACTTAGGGAATGAAATTGTAGAAGTGAATGACCTGATACTTCTAAGGAGAAGGATAGAGTCTATTGCACTGAACTAAGCAACTTGGAAGGTACAATAAGCCAGAAAGCTGCACCGTATGGGGAGTACAAACCCTACTTCCTAGTATCCTTATCTCCATACCATACACATCCACATAAAATTTTAAAAAAGTTGCTAATAGATGAACTATACGAAATTCAAAGTTAAAAACCTAAATCACAATCATTAAATATTAACCACTATATATATATATATATATTTTTTTTTTTTCCAGGCTAGCGTTAAAGAGATGCCAGGGGACATTGATATTGACACCAGTGAAAATGTTATTCGCCTCGAGGCCGAGAAAGAGGAAGATGCGTACGAGAAGCCGAAAAAGACCTGGGATAACGAGGAAAAAGTGGTTAACAGGGATGGCGAGGTGTCTTGCAGGCAAGACGAGCTACAGAAATGCTTCCTCGACAAGCTGAAAATCGACGGCAAGTATGACGTGAAAGCCGTAGAGGAAATGAGCAAAGAGAAAAAGACGTGGACTGATGAAGAGAGGACGATGCTGCAAGAACAGCTTGACAAAGAATTTGATGATTTTATTAAAGGATTGGAAACAAGGAAGCAATCGGAAGCATGGCCTGAAGAAAAATGGGAAGAGGTAGATATATATTTGTTTTAATTACTTAAGTGCTTTGTTTTATTATTTTCCTTTAAAGGAAATGGAAAAACATCCTTTCTTTATGAAAAACACCCCTGAAAATGGCGAACTTCCTCCTTTACTCGAAGGCCTCTGCCAGCTTAAGTATAGCTCAAGTGAAAATACTCCTGAAGGTATTTTTATTTAAAAAAACAAACAAAAAAAACTAAATTTAATTATCAAACTTTTTACTCTTTTAGAATTAGCAAATGCTTTTAAGGATGATGGGAATTTCAATTTTAAGTGCAAAAATTATCGAATGGCAGTTATAAGTTATACAGAAGGAATAAGCAAGAAATGTAGTAACGCAAGGCTCAACGCCCAGCTCTACAACAACAGAGCGGCTGCACAATTTTACCTTAAAAATTACAGGTATATCATGACTTTTGTCAATCGATTTATGAATTTTATTTTATTTTATTTTCAGGTCTTGTTTTTACGACTGCAAGAGGGCTTTGGAGTGCCAGCCTCACTATCCGAAAGCCTCTTTGAGACTGGCACACGTCTCTCTACTGCTGGGAGAGTTTGATGAGTGCCTCAAAGAATGCGAGATCCTATTATCGAGCGACCCGACTAACAAAGAATACAAAAATATCCAAGAACAAGCTGCTAAATCAAAAGTACCATTTTTTAAATATCAATGTTTTCTATTTTGATATACAAATCTGTGTATTTTTTTCAACAGAAAATCAAAGAAAGAAATGATAGGAAAGAATTTGTAAAAAGCAAAAAAGCTGAACTGGACAAGAAAATTCTCGAAAAAGCTATTAAAGAGAGAGGGATAAAAATGTTAAATACAGGTATTGATCCACCTTAGATAAATAAATAATAATAAAAATAACCATAAAAATTAATAATAACTTATCTATTTATTAATAATATAGTATTATTAATTTTTTATTTAATAATAACTTTTCTATTTATTAATAATATAGTGTTACTAATTTTTTATTAATAATATTTATTAGTCACTCATTTATCTTGCANATTAGGATTGTACATCAATTATATTATTAATTTTTTTATTAATAATAACTTTTCTATTTATTAATAATATAGTGTTACTAATTTTTTATTAATAATATTTATTAGTCACTCATTTATCTTGCAAAGATCATCGACATATAAAGGCCTGACTATAAGATTATCTATATTATCAGCCAGACCGTTTACCGCAATAGCAAATAAAGTGACATTCAGAACCAAACCCTGAGGAATCCCGTTTTCTTGAATTAATGTACTAGATAAGGCGGTACCTAATCTCACCCGGAATCTCCTCATTTCGAGGAAGTGTTTTGAAAATGTATCTATGTCCCCTCTTAAACCCCAATCATAGAGTTTCTTAAGAATACCAAATCTCCGGGTCGTATCGTATGCTTTTTCCAGGTCGAAGAAGACAGCTAAAGCATGTTCTCTTTCCAAGAAAGTGTTCTGAATAGCACTTTAAAGGAGCACTACATGATCTTCAGAGCAAAAGTGCTTTCTGAACCCAGCCTGGTATTGGCTGTACAGACCTTTTTTCTCAATAAACCAATTTAACCTTTGTTAATTATGGCTTCCAATATCTTGCTGAGACATGATGTTAGAGAAATAGGTCAGTAATTTTCTGGGAGGCTAGGATCTTTACCCAGCTTAGCAGTGGGTATCACGACCGACTCCCTCCAGTTTTCAGGATAATATCCCGCACCCCATATTTCATTAAAAACTCCAAAAACTTTACTTTTTCTTCTGGAGATAGATTTTTAATCATGGAGTATGTGATTTCATCACTTCCCGGAGAAGATTCTTTCACTGAACTCAGAACAAGATCCAGTTCAGCCAGAGTGACGGGAGTGTTCCAAACTTCTTCTTCATCAGTTGCAAAATTTAAATCGTGTCTTTCTTCCTCCTCCTTTATCTGCTTGAAACGCTCCGAATACCAGCTGGAATTAGAAACAGATTCAAAATGACGAGCTATACACTCAGCAATTTGAAACGGTTCTGTTATGACCACGTCTTCTGTACGAAGTATTGGCATAATTGGGGGCTTTCTTTTGCCCGAAATTGCCCTGATCTCCCTCCATATATCCGAGGATTCCGTACATGGTGTTAAATTGAAAATTAACTATTTTAGAGAGTTTTGTTTGGCTTCCTTTATTCCTCTTCTTTCTTTGGCTCTGGATTTACGAAAGTTTGACAAATTGTCATCAGTCAGAAACCTTCACAGCTGTCTTAGGGCCTTTTTTTGCCCTACAGACAAGTTCGCATTCCCTATTCCCTGTTTTTGGAATCGCTTCAGAGGCGGCAGCTTTAATTTTTTCCGTAAGCATGGCAACATCTATGTTGACATTGTTACATAGATTAGGAAGATGGGCAATTTGTGCATACTTATTCCATGCTGGTAGTCATTGCTTATTATTATCAGTTTTGTTTGTTTTAAACTACAAGGTTATATGACTTTCTGACAAAATAAGGTCGAACAATTTACCCACAAAAAATCTGACTTTAGAATAAATTAGCAAAACTTTTTACATATTGTATCAACAAATGTTTCATCAATATTGTTATCATTTGGTTGATTTTTTTTTTTCTTTTCAGAAACTGCGAATATTGTAAATAACCTTTTTTCTGACGTGGCGAAGAAAGGAGTGCATCTGGATGATGACAAAAGGATAATATGGCCGGTGATTCTTCTCTACCCAGAATATAGGATGTCAGACATCATTGAATGTTTCCATGAAGATACGACGTAATGCGTACCAGATTTGTTTATACTTTAAGATTTTTTCTTTTCATTTTTATCCTTAGATTTGAAGAACAGTTTCAAGAAGTATTTGCAGAAGTGCCTGAATGGGACTTGAAAGGAGTTTATAGACCAGGAGCGCTCAACATTTATTATGAAGACGCCAATAACGCCATCCACCAGGTGCACCCGGCCGACACATTGGGCTCCGTTCTTTCAAGGGAATCGTAAGTATTATTATTATTATTAATACTTCTTTAAAAACATTTTGTTTATTTTTAGTTATTATATCGACGCTGCGACACCATCTTTTATTGTGATGCCGAAGGACTCAGAAGCAGATACCAAGTTTTTGGAAGGACAGTTCAGCAGCTTCCAGTGAAGGTCGATCCTGTTTCATACAAAATTTTTGTAAATTTCTGCATTTGTTACCGTTAGACATAATTATGATTTTTAATAAAGGAAAATTGGTATAATTTAAATATTTTATTTATTTATTACCTTTTTCTTTTTACAAACCACCGTGCAGGGAGAAAACTTCAAAATATATATGAAATATACTCTGAATTTTGAAACATATTTGTGTTCTTACAAAATGTAATCTTTTCAATTTTTATGAACTAGAATTTTAATTTGAATTATTAATTGTATATATTGTGAGATTTATCAATGTTTTATATGGGAATAAACCTGAAAATTGGTCATTATTGAATTTTGGTTTGCTTGTCCATCCTTTCTAGATTAATCGGTTGGACGTGTTTTGGCATTTATTTCACCATCTTAGTGGTCTCTCTTTATTAATATACAATTCACTATGAATCCAGACCAAAATCGGGCGTGGGGGAAAATGAGTCCTACGCTTTTGATTAAAAATTATTCATAATTGTACATACATGTTTTATTAAAGTACCTAATTCGGTGACCTCAGCGGTTTAGGCATTGACACAGTGTTCATCAGTGTAAGATAAAGGTCCTTGGTCTGTATCCAGCAGCTCTGGATTTTAGCCTGATATACTCAAAAAAAAAAGTCACTCTGAAGGTTCACATAATCTTGCAGTTGAAATTGTTTAAAAAAATAAATAAATAAAAATGATGTTAATATTTTTTAATTTTTAGTATTTACACTTAAATTATGAAATTAGGTAATGAGACAAAACTTTTTTTCAAATTTTTTCTTTAAATTTCGAATTTTTTCAAATTGTCACCCTGAGGGTTCATATAACCCCGTAGTTGAAATACCCTCGTAAATAAATATAAATAAATAAATGGTGTTAACATATATTTTTCTAAATTTTTAGTATATACCCTTATATTACGGAATGAGATAAAGTAGACAAAACCGATACGAACACGGCGCAAAGTATATGCAGTTTGTTTTAACTCATTGGTGTTGCAGGTTTAGCCTACATTTCCCGTTTAAGATATTTCTAGGCTTTGATAATTTCTCTTTTATTAACCGCTTTCATAAGTTTATTTCATATGTTTTGATTTTTAATTCATTAAATCAACCGCAGTCGACATATTGGCTTAATAATTTATTCAAGTACAATATACTATATTCAGTATTTGTTGTTTATATTCATCTCTGTAATAATATGTGGTGATTAGTGACCATTAGTCGATGATTATTCGGAAATCGTGAGATGCGGTCTGGTGTGACGTAGGTTTCAGAAAAACATTTTCTTTATCGTGCCAACGTTTCGATCTTTATTGAGATCATCTTCAGGGCCTGGGATTTACAAACATTGTTTACATTTAACAAATACGTGTAGGATGTGGAAAAAAGCGAATTTATACAATGCAAAAAAATTTTTTTTATATTCAATGAAACAATGTTTAAATTGTCCGGCAACTTACATCGGTATTACATCCCAATATCTGGATAAGTGAGTAAAGCAACATATCTTTGATTGCAAAAACACCCAAGCAAAATCCTACAGCACTCGCTACCCACCATTTTGAACACAATTTCACAAACAAAAAACGCTATGTAATGAAAACACCGTTTAATTTATAACAAAAAAGCCTTCTATAGATACAAAATATAAAGAGAAAAAAATTTACTTTAAAAACTGCCTTCTTATAAAAACTATATTTTCTTTTAAAAAAATTGCCGTCTTATTAAAACAAAATTCTTCTGTGCGCTAAATATTATTTTAATATCTCTAATAAATTATTTACAAATATCCAATTAGACAACGCGTATGCGCGAAAATGAGTGCACATCTTTGGCGTAATATTTATGGAGTAAATAATGTGTCCCTTCTTGTGCTGGTGTCAAAATTCCAATTTGGTCTATTACATTATCGGTGAAATATGAGAGAAACCTCTTCTTTTGTAAGCCTTTAACAAAAATCTTTTTAAACCTATCAAGATGATGACGTAAAATCTATCTAATTGGTCATAGTCTACATCACGATCTTCCCATTTTATTTTATGGAAATACCGATGTAACCAACTATTTACTTGAAGACTGGACTCGTTTTGCGCACATTCCTCCGGCGGTTTGAAAACCCAATGTGGACTCGAATAGTGGTCAAGATCTACAATCGACAATACTTTTACAATATATGCATTCGTGTTGTTCACAAACCATTGAATTTCTACAACAGATGCTCTGTTCGAACTCATGGTAGCAAATGAATTGAAATGTTCTGGCTTTTGGAATTTATACCATTTTATGAACGATGTTGTAGAGAGGATTGTATTCTATTATTCTATCATGTATTATGAGACAATAAGCGGTGGTATCAGAAGGAAACGGTTTATTAGCTTCGAATTCGAGTCTCACATCTACCGGACCAGTTTTTGTGGATTCGGACTGTTTGGCACAATCAATTACGACAATAGGAGCTTCATCTCTGAAGTGAGTTAATGACAGTAAAGGAGAGGGATTAGACTCAGAGCAGTAATTTTTTTGAACGTTTGCATACATATAGTATAACATTCCGTATTGGTTATTAGAAAAAATCACATTTAATCGTCGTATGGGTAAGATTTCGAATTTAAAAAAAGTTTTATATTAGTCAAAAGAGCAATGGTCAAATTTATTTGAATTCACCAACGAATTATTTTTTCTAAACGACTGAAATGCCAAAATTACAAAACGGGGTGTTTCCATTTGTGTAGAAGTTTTGACCGGCCATAACTGTCACTGAGTCGTAGGTAGTAGCGGGTAATCGTACAACTCCCAACTTCTAAACGATACCGATATTACTTTTCCTTTTTCAAATGCTTCAACATCAATAGTTTTTGATATTCGTTTAAATAGAGAGAGGGCATTTTCCAAGAGAGATTCGTCAACTCTATTTTCGCTTTTCCTAATTATCTGCTGAAATGTAAGAGTTTTCATCCCTTCTGGATCGTATCAATATGAGCTCTTGTTTCACGTTGATGATAACGTTTTGGTAATCTTCTGCAAAACCGAGTAACAATCGTAATGGGATGCATACATTGAAATGACCTTCACTCGAATTCAAACTTTGAGTTTTAGATCCTGGTGAGATCCAGCCAGCATTCTCATTGATGCCGTGACGTCTTATTGAAGTTAAACCCTTCAAAGCACTGGAATTCTCGGATTTTTAATTCTATTTCCGTTCCACAGATTTCGTACCTAATTTCATCGAACAAAAAAGCATTCAGAGTTAATGTACTATTAGTTGGTACACCGTCGTCTTTTAAAATTTTCCCTTCTAAATAGAGAAACTCTCGCATGGTAATGTGTAAATATCTTGTTGTTCAACAGTGATTCTAATCTCATCATCATGTTGTAATTTTGTCGATGTATAAGGATAACGTGAATGTAATTCTATATCTTCTATGATCTCATCGCAACTAGGGCGTTCTTCTACATTTAACATTTCCATTGTGATTTCGGTAAAATTTTATATTTGGCCGTTTTCAAAAATACTATATTTTCTTCCGACACGAGAGGTCGTTTCTCGTTAACTCCCCGTGGAAGAGTGGACCGAAGTTTACCATCCCTCTTTTTATATACTTTTCTGAAGTCTAAACTCATCGCTACCAGAAAAGACACTGAATTTTTCTTTAAAAATTGTTGATTTTATAAGGTCTAGCAAAAACAATAAACAAAGATGGCCGCAGTGATTAGAATTTGGAGAGTGATACCGCCGTTTGTTCACAATTATGCGGGCATTCTTCAAATATTTTACGAACTGAGGCGAAGGTTTCCTTTACCAATGCTATCACAATTTCTCATTCAATTATCTATTTTTTATAGCAAACCCAATGGGTTCCACGTCCAGAACTTTTATCCAAATTCAATATTGCACATTCGTTTGTAATCGGTTAGGGAGGGTATCTGTGCGAATCAGGGCTCTACAATATTTAGGATATCCCAACTCTAATGTATTTTTACCGGTTTTCCACGAATGACTCCCTCACACTGATGGCAGGGGTATGATGTCTTCAAACAAAACCAATTCCTGAAACATATTAATATAATTCGCTAATTATATTAATATTAATATAATATTAATTCAAGAGTTTGCTAATAACGAGAGCAGGATTGAGTTTATAAAATGAGTTATAATGTTAATACAAGTTGTAATTAAAAATATATAAACATATACGAACAGATACGATAAATTCACATGAGAACAATTAGTATTGCATGCAATAAAACAGGTCGATTATGGTAATAAATTAATAATGTAAAACTAAAAGAACTGTATTCTGCAATAAATTCTTTATATTTGCCATGCAATTCGGAATTTTTATGAAATTATTATTGAAGATTATAAAATCTGGTGATGGCAAATGACCGTGAGTCTGGATATGTCAAGCTGGGATGTCGAAAGGGTAGAGCAACCATATACCGGCCAGAGGGTAATCGTTGAAACGTGGATCTAAAGTAATCTTCGCATTTTATATCTTCTGAATGGGAATCCGTTGCAACCGTTACTTCCTCCATCTCCCAGAAACGTTTTATGACTGTGTCAGAAACAGAACATTGTAATATAGACAAGCAATTTCCGTGTATGGTCGAAAGTTGTTGTGGTAGAACTCCCACGACTACATGTCCAATGTGGGTAGGGTTCAAAATCTTCTGTAATTTTTACCATTGCTTCCGTTGTCATTGTTTGAAACAAGAGATCCGACCCTAGAAGAAAGTCTACGGGACGTGATTTCCAGAATTCTTCGTCGGCCAAATTAACAAAATGAAATTGTTCGCATACAGATGGATTTAGGCAAGCTGTGGGCAAGTTATCAATTAATGATGGGATAAGAAGTGCTTCAGTAATGATCTTCTTTTGCATATTTGTAGTAGGGCTAAGTGTGACTTTAACAATACCTTTGGAGGAAGGTAGACGGGTTATTCCTATCCCACTCATAGTCTACCTGCAGGGCGACCACGTAAGACCTAATCTTTTGGCGCAACCAGTCGTTATTATTGAGAATTGAGACCCTGAATCTATGACTATCCTAACTGGCTGGAGATGACCTTTCCAAGCAT